GGTGGAAGAATAAATACAGAGCCTCTCTGAGGTGAGGCTAAGGGATAAATGAATAATTAGAGGCTCTTGGATTTTTTTTAGCCAATGAAAATAACCCTTTCACTCAGTTTTCTTTGAACTCTGCATCTAAAAGTTCCATCCTGCTCAGCTTTGCACACTCCACGGTACACCCAGGAGGAAGGTTGGAGATCCAGACTTTCAGCTAAAGTAAGTGGAGATGTAGAAGCCACACTCAGTGCTTCTCCAGGGTGGTGTGTGAAGAACCCCTTCCTCTGAAAGGATGACCTTGACCCTTCTTGCCTGGGACTGAGTCACCCATCTGAGAGGAGGCCCTTCTCACCCAGGAGGAAGAAAATCTGCTTTAGAACACAGTGCTCACCCCCCTTTTCTGGCCTTCCTTCCATTCATAAGATCTGGTGGTATGGGCTGTGGATCGCATCGTGATTTTATTTTATTTTGGCCTTTGTCACATCCTCATTCCTTTAGCTTTTAAGTTTAGCTTCTTTTGGCTTTTCTCCAGTTGTTAACCAAGCTTAAATTTAGAGTGATAAGACCAGGTTTCTCCCTCTGTAGTTGAATTTATAAACATGTTCACCAAATCGTAACAACACTTCAGCTTTCAGAGCTGATTTCATGTAAGCCTGTTGTTAGCAGAGGGTGTCCCTGGGTTCCATTCTCTGAGAATGTCAGGGAGTCTGAGAGAAGATGAATTTACATGAGATAGCAGCAACACATGTGCCCCTTTATCTTCTGGTGTGTGTATCATTAATCTAATTGTCTTCCCTAACTAACGAATCATCTTAGTTTTATGATTTGTTCCGCATGTATTATGTTTATATTAGAAATGTTTATATAACATGCTTTCCATATCAGGGAAAATCATATCTGTTTAAAAAATTGGCTATAACTTTATTATCTGTGGACAACTTGTAAAATTTGGAATGTAGCATATGTAAAAAGTTTAAAGATATCCAAATAAATGCTTTAGGTGTTGACATTACTTTGCATCTGCCTACATTTTCTTCCTGTTTTGTTTCACACAGTTAAATGCAGTGGAGGTGTTCCACATGTCACCTTGCTATAGATAAAGTGGGACACCTGTATTAGCTTGAAATTTAAGATGCTTATATTATTAGTGTCAGTTATGGCTGTTGGCCAAACGATCTTGACCTTCTGAAGGAAGCTTGATCATCATTTCAGCTGATTAAGTTTCGTATTCACTGACTGTGACAGCTTGTGACCTTTCTGAACCACTGTGGACCTCAAATCACTGGGAAAACAGGGCACTCGAAGTCTCTCCCAGCTCCAAGTCATTTCCTCCAAGAAGGGTTAAACTCTTGCTTATCCTTACGTAGTGATCTCCAGGCCCCTGTTCTAACACACTCCCCAGACACCTCCTGCTTAGGAAAGACACATGTACGAAGGAAGCTACATCCTATATTTGCAAGGGAGTCATTGCCTATGAAAGTTCTGCTGTGCTCTTGAAAATCCTCTTAAAAGGAAAGCATCAAACTAAAAACACTAGGTTTCTCTGTCTCCTGGTCATTAATGCTGCTCCTAGCTAGCTTACTACCTCCCCTGGTCCTAATGTCATCAGCTCCAGGACACATTAATTCCCTCTGACATGCTCCTTCCTTGCTTTCTCCCTGCTTCTGTTTTTTGAGTCAGGTTTATTGATGTTTATTTTCCAAATAGTAAAATTCACCCTTTCTAGTGGATGGTTTTATGCATTTTGACAAATGCATACAGTTGTTTTAACAAGCCACACTCAAGAATAGAATAATCCCATCACCCAGGAAGTTCTTTCATGCCCTTTTGTGGGCACCTTCTCCCCGCATCCTGACCCTTGACAACCACTAATTTTTTTCTGTCCCTTTGTCTTGCCTCTTCCAGAATGTTATATAAATATGTCATATATGTAGAGTTTTGAGTCCGGCTTCTCTCTAAGAAGACATGCATTTGAGAGCCGTCCCCGTTCCTTTTGGTTGCTGAATCGGTTGCTGAATCGTGTTCATTGTGCAGATGTATACCCACTCACCAGGTAAAAGACATTTGGGCAGTTTTGGGTGGTTATGAATAGAACCATGACAAACAATCCTGTTACAGGTTTTTGTATGGACCTGAGTTTTCATTCCCATCAGGCAAATAGCTAGGAGTTGACTCATATCTTAATCCACTCTACACCATCCTCACACTTTGACTTTGCTGCTTACTTATACGCATCCTCTGATTTGAAGGACAAGATATAATGCCATCAGGAGTTAAGGGCTGATATTTCCTCCCTTCCAGCCAGTCTCATGTCCTCTGAACACCAAGAGGGCATCCGCTCTCCCCCTGAACCTCCGTGTTATTCCCCCACATTCCTAGCCCTTAACACACGGTGCTGCTGGCTTGCCACACTGACAACAGGAGCCTTTTTTTTTTTTATGTAGTAGCAGGTCAGAGACCATAATTGTCATAGTGCCCCCCCCCCCCCCCCCCCGGCCCCTGGCTAAGCTGCAAACCTGCTGACCTAGCATTATAGGTGCCCGGACGAGGGGAGGCGGGGGAGTGTGCGGAGCAAGCCCCTAATCTTATTAATCTGAATTGAGGTTACTAAGGGTTTATTGGCTGGTGGCTCAGTCCTGGGCTTGAAAATGTTGCAAGAGGCTGTGGGCTCTTGAGCTGAGGCTGCAGACACTAGGACACTTATCTTCCTAAATGTTGGGAATAAGTAGCTATTACTACTTCACTATGGAGTAATTGTTTCAGAAATAAAAGTTCTAAGGCATTGTCTTTACCTCTCACCCTTCCCCAGGGCTAGGCTGACAGGACTTGAAAGCTGGCTGAGTCCCTTGGGAGAAATGAACCTACATTGGCCCAAAGAAAGACTGAGGTTAGACATAAGGAAAAACCTGGTCCCAGTCTTGCTAGGCACTGGTAGATGACCAAATGAGTTGGGCAGCTTCCTCTAGCAACTACCTGGCTACCTGAGAAGACCGTGAGAATGCAGCCCACCCTAAGTCTGTGTAATGAGAAAAGAGCAATTGTGAGTTGCTGCCTGAGCATTTACAGTGTGACAGCCCTGCTCAGGTCATTTAGATAAGGACCTGAGCTTAGGTTTCCCGTCCCTGGAATTCCTGCTTTGCTTTTCCCGAAGCACGTTTCAAAATAACCACTTAGAGTGGAGCCCGTCCCAACCACTTCTTAAGTAATAGGTGCTTGCTACCCTGCTCTCTGTCTCCTGCTCTCGAGAGCTGGAATGGAGGACCCCCCTTCCACCGGCTCATTGCACACACACCCCTCGCTTCTGTTCTGGGACCTGCGAGTAATAGACCTTGTGAATTTACTCCCTTTGTATGAGTGCCTTGAAACTGCCTTCGATCAAAACAACCCTGGGGTTTTCACTTCCCCAAAGTGGGAGCTGGGATGCTGAGGGAGCTACCTGCCAACCCTGTGTGGGTGGCTTAGTGCCCCCTCATTCAGCGGGTCATAATCTGCATGTTCTTAATTCAGTACGCCAGCTCCAGGCCCCCTGCACAGTCTGCTCTGAACCAACTGGTGGTATTTATTGTGGGATCATTTTCCCCTTGATCCTCCCAACAGCTCTCAGATTCTGACCAGAGCAGGGGGGATAGAAAATGGAATTTTTGCTTAAATCACTAAATTAAGATTCCACATACTAAAATATTGAACTCAGCTCTGGTCCAGATTCTAGCAAATGTTGAGATTATTTGGATAACCTAATAGTCCCTGTTCTTGCAGATAAGAGATAGCAAGAGGGAGAGAGGTGACACCCACGCTGTTGAAACAGCTGCCGTGATCATTAGCAGTGCTACCTTTCAGTGTCAGGTTTGGTTTGGTTTTGTTAACAAATGTTAGCAAGAATCAGGGATCCTGTGCTACATACATTTAAGACAGGCACTTAACGAAAGTGATTTTCGTACAATATAATTTTTAATGTCTATTGTACAGCTGTCAACAGCATCGTTATACGTGTGGACCTAGAGCAGCATTTTCTTGATGGTTCTCAGTGCTCCTGGGAGGGGAGAGCTCCGGGACCCTCATCAGAGGGGCTGACTCCCTCAGTGTTGTCCATGTGGGTCATTCCTGGGTCTCCACACTCAGAAGTCGAATTGAATTAAACCTGGGACCAAAATCTGACAGAATGTCCAAACATCTTTGATCTGGTCTTAAGCCTGAGAGAATTAGAGCCCCAGAACATACCCCAGGCAGCACCAGAAGTCTTATTTTTTCCACACTGAAAACTCCTAGGACAGCAGTGAAATCATTCCCTCCTTCCCCTGAAAGCTTCCTTTCTCTCTTTTTCCAGAAAGAAGTAAAAACTTCTTTTGCAGTTGCTAGCATGAGAAGATGAGCTGTCTCAAAGAATCTTCTTTAATGCGGAGGCATTCGGGAAATATCATTTTGCAGGATGGGTATCTGGGGCAAGAAGCAGGACGAAGCTCGCAGAGGACTCTGTCCTCCACTGCAGACAGTGTTGTCCGTGGGGCCTGTCACGGCACCTGTGTGGGCGTCCCAGGAGGTGGGGCCTGGTCTCCAAAGGGTGGACTCTTGTCTGATTGTTGCTCCTCTTCCACAGAAGGGCAGCCGTCTAACCCAGTGCTTCCATAGATGAGCCAAAGGAGGTTACCCGGCAGTTTAGCCAGAACATGCCTACAACCCAACTCCCTCAGCCCGTGGCTCACTCCTGGCCAAGTGACTGAGGGCTTGTGAAGGTGACACAAAAGCTGTATTTTTGCTGAGGGACATAATCCCCTCTCTCTAAGTTCTCTTGCCTCATGATTGAGAATTCCTCTTTTGAGCCCTCAGTCCTCTGGAGAGACCATTACTCTTAGAAAAGTGTAACTGTCCCTCACCTTCTGTAATTAAATAAAATGGCTGATGTGTCCATCTTTGCATTTGAAAAACATGACAGCGTGGCCAGTACATTTTTCAGACTTTTAAGCTTATGCATCAAGTGACACTTCGGATATAGAATGAAGCAACTCGGAGCTCAACGTAACAGCCAACTTATAAAAAGGGAGCAGCCCTCAGGTGTAGCCAGTAGCCTCAGGGTGGAACTGAATTCCTGTGCCATGAGGAGTCATCCACTGAGAGGCCCCCCTGAGTCCACCATGAGGGTGCATCCTAGGGCAGTGAGCCTAAGTGGGACTCATTCACTCACACTTTGGACAGTCATTCAATGGAAGTTTTTAGGGACCCTGAATTTTAAATCCCACCATCCAGAAGAGTCTCTGTGAGACGGCCACCCTCCTTGCGAGATTCAGACTGGATCGGGGGGGTATCCGCGTTTCCTGGAATCCACTACTTCTCAGTGCTCAGAGGGGAGGGGGTCCCGCGACCGTCAGCCAGCCTCTGGGGCCTGGCCTGCATCCACACCCTCGGCTTCCACCTGGTTACCCTTGCCCAGCTTCTTCACGCTCTCCAGAAAGGCCTTCCAGGTCTCCGGAATGCTCTTCTCCAGAAGCCAGCCCTCACTCTCGCACTCGGGGTCTTCGGGGTTGGCCACGCCTTCCAGCGCCGTGTGCAAGTAGCGCAGCCCGATGGTGATGGTCACCTGGTGTGGGGAGAGGAGACTTAGAGGAGATCTGGGAGAAGTAGCTGGGGCAGGGGTTACCAGGAAACCATGGCAGCCACCGGCCTGCTCATCCTGGGAGCCCTTCAAACAAGGTTCTGTTGGGGCTGGGTTGGCGAGGCCCTGGGTGCTCGCGATCTGCCTGTGCTCCAGCCTCATCTCAGGCCCCATTCTCCTCCCTTTCCAGCCACCCTGGGCTTCTTCGGATCCTGCCCACACCCAGCCTTTCTCCTCTCCAGTTTTACCATTTGCTGTTTTCTCTACTTAGAACATGATGGGTGCCCCTGCACCTGAATTCTCCCCTCCTTGCCCTCAGGTCTCCCCCTTCCTGGGGGCATTAATCCTGGGCTCCTTCTCTCTGTGTCCACCCCCACCCCCACCCCGTTCCTGGCACGTTGCTAGGCACATAGCGGGTGCTCAGCAACTATTTGCTGGACAGAATTAGAAAGTCATCTCCTTTTCTGCAAACAATAGTGATATACGGTTTCCCTCTACTTGTGTTATTGTGATACTAGAGCATGAGTGGGTGATTTGTTTGGATTTGCTCACTGGAAGTCACTGCAGCAGACTCTGGTGCCAGAATGCCTGGGTTCAAACCTCAGCCCTGGCACTTAGCCAGCCATGTGACCAGGAAACCTCAGTTTACTCATCTGGTTTGCAGATTTTCAGATGAAGTACTGCCTGCTCCATGGGCATGCTGTGATGCTTCAGTGTGTGTAGAGCATGGTACCTGGTGCACAGCAAGGATGAATAGGAATATCAGCTGTAGTTGGTTATTAGTGAGCATGGTAAGTACTGTTTCCACTTTTCTAACCCTGTATTGTGTTAGCCACTTGTTTCTACACAAATTCCTGGTTTGCTGTCTTACACTCTTCCTTTGATGGTATAGCAAACTCTGTGAGAGGCCTGGGCCCACTAATGGAGAACATCCACCCCCTGAGGGCAGGGGTGGCCTTGATGCATCTTGTTCACCTGCTGTCCCAGCCCCTACAACAGTACCCAGTGGTGGCAGGGCCTCAGTAAACATGTGTTGAATGAATGCTCTGGGAGCATTTTATAATTACAGCAGTAGATGATAATAGTAACGAATAGTTTTAGGTTATTGTTGACTGAAAGTTTAATAAGATATTTTTACAGTGGAAAGACTCACCTCCAGGAAGTCCTCCTGGTGTGCGTGTACCCACTCTGATTCCTTCCTGCTTTCCTCAAGAAGGCCCCCTGTTGCACTATGAATTTTGTGCTAGGTAATGGTACTCCCTTTGGTTCATGAGTCTGATGTGGACTCATGGATTGTGAGACCCAGGAGGGCAAGGCTGAGGGCAGAATCTTATCAGCCCCCCTTGTGCCCATCACAGAGCTCTGCCCACTAAAAGCCTCAGGGGAAAAGTGAAAGGGGATTAAAACTCCCTGTTCCCAGTGAACAGTTCCTCTCCTTAAGCGGTCACTAGGTTCCTGGAAAGGTGGGTAAACTGAGAGGCAGCCAATGGAACTCCATTTTCCCACTGACTTCATTTATCCTTTCAGTCTTCTTTTCATGTGTTTTCAAGGGATGCAAACTTCTAACCTTCTAGCAGTAAGCTTCTCTCCTTATTCTACCCACATATTCCCAAGACTCTGCCTCAAGGAGCTGGTGACTAATAAATCATCATGAATATGCTTGTGTTTGCCTTAATGTGAAAAGAAGGCCTTCCTCCCCATCTCACCCCCTCAACAGGCAGTACAGTTCTTCTGATGTGATGTGGTAAGTTAGAAGTGGTGCGTCTCAGCTGAGAGCCCAGCTATGTGTGAATTTCCATAGCACTAAAGATTGACTTATTTAAGGGAACCTTTCAGTGAATCTTCTCTGATGGGCAAAGTTTCCCCACCTAATGTTTCTGGTTTTGTACATTTAGGTTTTGGAGTTTGGGTTTCTGCTGTCAGCTCAAAGCATGAACCCATGAGTCACTCTCTGTGCCACCTTGGTTTACCCCTCGCTGACAGTGGGCTCTCGTTCAGCACCCAGGACAGCGCCCAGCACTCGTAGGTTTTTGAGAACTATTTCTTCAGTAAATGAATGAATGAGGGCTTGCTATATCCCAAGACCTGCAGCTACAGAGAGGAATTAAACCTAATAGATGAGATAAGATGAACCTACAAATAATTAGAATACCAGGTAAATTGCTACCAGAATCTCAAGAGAAGCACAAATCATTGACTGAACACTTTGATGTGCCTGTATCTCCTGTTGCCTCCCAATAGTTCCAAAGCTAAATGCTGGCAGCCCCCTATAACAGAGATGTTAAATAACTTTCCGAGTCCTTAGACTCAAAAAGTGGAGACACAGGATAAACCTCTGAAACATGCAAAGTGAAAGAAGCCAGACCTAAAAGGTCACATATTATATGATTCCTTTTATCTGAAATGTCCAGAATAGATAAATCCACAAGGACAGAACACAGATTGGTGGTTACCAGGGGCTTAGGGGGAGGGGAGGAGGGGGACTGACTACTTAATGGGTATGAGGTTTTTTGAGGGGGCGATGGAAGTATTTTGGAACAAGGTAGAGGTGGTATTGTGATTGTACCAAATGCCACCAAATTGTTCACTTTAAAATGGTTAATTTTATGTGCTGTGAATTTCAACTCAACGAATTCTTTTTTTTAAGTGATGGGACAGAAACAAAAAAATAGAGGTGCTGGTGTTCAAGCCTGGGCCTGCCTGCACAGCGGGCAGAGGGCTGGTTCCCAGGAGGGAGACCCAGGCCCAGCTCCACCCCATCAAATCCCAATGGGGCAGGTGGCTCCCTCTTGCCCTGCCCCCCACCAGCCCAGGGCCTACCTCAAAAAGCCAGACGAGGAGCGTCACAGCGCCCACGGAATTCATGAGGCTGCTGTAGTAGCTCAGCAGGGCGGCCCTGCAGCCGCGCACCCACAGGTTGAGCTCCTCCGTCTGGTGGTCATAGCTGTAGTGTGCAGAGTTATTGGTGAGCTGGTACTGGATGCAGGGCCGTGGCGAGCTGGGGTTGCAGCAGCTGAAGGGGACTCCATCCACCAGGTACCGCCCATCCACGTTGCTCTTGATGCGACTGGAGGAGAAACAGACGGCTTAAGACCAGCTGCTGGAACTTCTCACCAGGGGCCAGCTCCTCCCATCCCCCACCTCTGAAAATCTGGAATATTCATTCATTCATTTGCTGTCTTGAGAAATATTTACTGTACACCGACTATGCGCCAGCCACTGTTCTAGGTGCTGAAGATGGAGCAGTGACCCTAGAGAGCCAATGCCCCAGCCTTCCTGGAGCTTATGTTTAGAGGGTTAAGATAGATGATAAACCAAGAGGCAAGTAAATAAGGAACATACGTATTCTAGCCCTTGTGGAGCAATGGAGTTTCAACAAAACCTAACAATGACATTTCAAGAATTCTGTGGACCTGCTGATCCTGAAACTGCCTGGCGTTTACGTCCTGGAAGCCTCTGAGCAATCTTTGGTAAAACTAAGATCCAGAATGCTGTTCACCGTACTGATTTGCCAGAGGATGGCCTGTTAGAGGTTCAGGATTTCTTCAAGGTCCTGGATAACTAGCGGTATAGATAGTAAAGAAGTCACAAGTTGGGGCATTTAGACAAGAGTGAGTCACACACGTGAGAAACGTGTTCATTCTTTTATTGCCCATTGTTTTAACCTGACTGAATACAAGATCGACAAGAGCACTGTACTCCTGGCAATTATTAGGTGTGTTGGAACATGGATGTTGCACTGTAGACAACATTTAACACCAGTCTGTGGAGTGCTGCATTGTAAACTGCAAAATAAAGATTTATTTTTTTAAAAAACCCACCACTCCGTGCTGCCAGGCCCTGGCATGCAGTGATTTCTTGGGTCTGTGCCAAGCTGGTAGGAAGAGTAGCAGGACAGGTGGTGACTGAGACAAGACTGCCTAGCATTCATGACCATCAACTTCAGCACCCAGCCCCCTCCCCAACCTCATCTCCTCCTTACAGATCACTGGGGACCAAGGTCCCCTCTGGCCAGATCACTTCTGCTCAACAGATGTTTCCAGAAGGCCTGCTCTGTCCCTGGGCCTTTGCAGGAGCAGAGAATGGGTCTTTGCCCATGGCTTGCTCTCCATACACACTGACCTCTGCCCCCAGCCGGGTGGGAGCTCCGTACTCACCTGAAGGATGCAACTTGCACAACTTTTGCATCTCTCCACTTATACATATATTTGGTTAGAGCACACCATACATTCATGCAGGTTCAAAATTCAAAAGGGGCAGCCATCGTTATAATGAAAATTCACTCCCTCCCCATCAGGCAGGCTTGGTATGTTCCATCTGACCTGTTCGTGGTTACCCAGGCAACTTTACGTATCAAAATTAATGGAGGGAATTCCCTGGCGGTCCAGTTGTTAGGACTCCGCACTTTCACTGCCAATGACACAGGTTCAATCCCTGGTCAGGAAACTAAGAGCCCACAAGGCACATGGCACAGCCAAAAATTAAAAAAAAAAAAAAAAAGATTCATGGAGCTCCACACTTAAGATTTGCACCCTTGACTGTGTACATGTTATCTTGAGTAAAAAAGGTTTTTTTTAAGTTGCACATGAACAATGCATTACATAATGGCAGCAGACTTTTACAGCACAAGGATAGGGAGTATGTAATTGTTCATAATAGAAATTGTTTCCAACAATGTTCATTGAAATGGTAATTAATTATACTCTTAAAAAAAAACATGTTCGTGTTCAACTTCTAAATAAAATACCCTCAATACAAAAAAATCTCCCACTCATTCTTGTCCCTTGGCCCCCAAGTTCCCTCACTGTGGCCAGCTCTGTCTGTCCTTTCACAGAAGCTTCAAGCATGGATAAGCAAGCTCAGATTTTGCAGAGTTCTTATTCTTCCTGTATGTTTGTTTGTTTATCCAAATGGTAGCATTATATACACACTGTCTTGAATCATTTTTTTTCTCTTAGCAATACCTTAGAGATTTTTTTTTTTTTTTTTTTGCGGTACGGGGGCCTCTCACTGCTGTGGCCTCTCCCGTTGTGGAGCACAGGCTCCGGACGTGCAGGCTCAGCGGCCATGGCTCACGGGCCTAGCTGCTCCACGGCATGTGGGATCTTCCCGGACCGGGGCACGAACCCACGTCCCCTGCATCAGCAGGCGGACTCTCAACCACTGCGCCACCAGGGAAGCCCCCGCGAGATCTTTTTATATCTGTCAAATGGAGAGTGTTCTCCAGGTTTTAATGAGGTGCATGGTGTCCCCCTTGTGCAGATGGCCCATAGGGTACTATCCATTTCCTATTGATGGACATTTGGGATTTTCCCAGTGTCTTGTTTTTTTTTTTTTTTCTTTTCTCTTTTTTAACTTATTTATTTATTTATTTAATTTTTGGCTGCATTGGGTCTTTGTTGCTGCGTGTGGGCTTTCTCTAGTTGTGGCAAGTGGGGGCTACTCTTCATTGCGGTGCGTGGGCTTCTCATTGTGGTGGCTTCTCTTGCTGCGGAGCACGGGCTCTAGGCGCGCGGGCTTCAGTAGTTGCGACGTGTGGGCTCAGTAGATGTGGCGCACGGGCTTAGTTGCTCCATGGCCTGTGGGATCTTCCCGGGCCAGGGCTCAAACCCGTGTCCCCTGCATTGGCAGGGGGATTCTTAACCACTGTGCCACCAGGGAAGTCCCCCCAGTGACTTGTTAATACAAACATGGACATGGGTCATTTTGCATATTGGGAATATATCTAGAGGATCAATTCCTAGAAAAGGCATCTCTGAATCAAAGGGTCCACCTGTGATTGCACCCGAGCTCTGCCATATTTCTCCTCTCGGGGGTTGTACAGTCACACCCACACCAGCCACACCCACATAAGTCCTGTTTTTGATCTTTGCCAACCTGACAGATGAAAAATAATACCTCAGAGTTGTTCTGATTTCTGTTTTTCTCATTATAAATGAAGTTAAGTATCTTTTGATGTGTTTAAGATCCATTTGTGGTTTCTTTTCAGTGAACTGTCTGCTGATCGGTATGATTAAGACCTGAGGAAGGCTCTGAAAAATGTGGCCTCCTTGGTTCCAGAACAGTCCTCGCCTGGGTTATGGCGACCGTATTTCCACACACCCTGTAGTCCCTGCCCTCTGTTTCATGGACAGAGCCCACTGCCCAGAGAACAGCTGGCCCTGGATGCACAGGTGATCCAGGACCAGGACCACGATAAGAGCAGGACAGCCTGAGTTTACTCCTGGTTCATCCCTCTGGAAGAATTCCTTAACCTCGCCAGGCCTCAGCTTACTAATCTGTAAAATGGAGTTGACATAAGAGTTGTATGAAGGGATCCACGTAAAGAGGCTAAGAAGAGTGCTTGGTACGTACTAAGTGTGTAAGACATGTGGACTCCTGGGCTAGGGCTGGGAAGGATAACAGCAAGAGACTTCATGTGAGCTCTCTGTGTCGTCGGGGAGCAGCTGTGACAGTGGAACAGGCCACATGACACCGCTGGGGAATAGTCTCTTGTGCGTGGGTGGTGTGGCCTCTGCCAGCTGTGGAGAAGAGTGCCTTCTGTGACCAAGACTGCAAGGGCAGGAACTTCCCTCGTGGTGCGTTGGTTAAGAATCTGCATGCCAATGCAGGGGACATGGGTTCGAGCCCTGGTCCAGGAAGATCCCACATGCCACGGAGCAACTAAGTCCATGCGCCACAACTACTGAGCCTGCGCTCTAGAGCTCATGAGCCACAACTACTGAGCCCGCGTGCCACAACTACTGAAGCCTGTGCGCCTAGAGCCCATGCTTCTCAGCAAAAGAAGCCACCGCAATGAGAAGCCCGCTCGCCACAACTAGAGAAAACTCACGCACAGCAACGAAGCCAAAAATGAATAAATAAATAAAATATTTTTTAAAACTTAAAAAAAAAAAGACTGCAAGGGCAGAGCTCAATGCCAGCCTGAGGCAGGGGCTGTGAGACATTTGTCCAATGACGGGAGTGGCTGCTGCTGAAGCTCAACTGCACCGAGCGCCATGGTAGCAGCTCTCCCTGCACAGCCCCGCACGGCACCTGGTTCCGCTGGCTGGGGTGGTCCTGGGTGGTCCCAGTGGGAGGACTGGAGCAGAGGCCCTTCAGCTTGGGGCTCCCACCCCCTTCTGAGGGACGAGCCAGCCCTGCCCAGGACTGAGCAGACATAGTCTCCTACCCCTAGGACCAACCCCAGCAGGCCTGGTCCCCAAATGCAAACACTGTTCGTCCCTCTTCCTGACCTGCAGGCTGTCCCTGGAGCCCACTTCCACCTGCACAATGTCCCACCTGGGCCATTCCCAGTGTCCCCATGGAACGGAGTGGGTAGAGCACAGAGAGCTGGCCTTTGAGTCTCAAATATGCATTTGTGAGCTGTGGACTTGTGTGAGGTGCGATAATCACACCCCCTCTCAGGGGCTGTGGGAGGTTTAAATGAGGCAGTAGGAGGATGCACTTGACACAGGCCCTATGAGAATGCGGGCTCTTCCCCACTCATGGCCATCTGGGGGGGACCCTACAACCCACCAGGCTGTTCTACAGAGGAGGAAGTGGAGCCCAGAGCAGGGCAGGGCCTCACACAAAGTTACACAGTAAGTGGAAGTCCAGCCCACAGCAGTTGCCCACCCCTCCCCTCAGAGTTTCCTCAGAGCCTCTCAGGTCCTTCCTGCCTGTTGGCTTTTCTAGCTAAACTTCCTGGGAAAGTGTGAGTTCTCTCCCCTGTTCCCTGTCCCAGGAGCCCTTCCTTGTCCAGCATCATCTCTCCTATGCACTCTCCAGGTGTCCCTAAGGTGGGGTGAAGCCTACAGATCTGCCTCATACTCCCTGAGGCAGGGCTGTGTCTTCCCTCAGACTGGGGACCCTGAGGGTATGCCTGGCTTGGTGGACATTGGGGTTCCCCCAGACCCCCAGCCTAGGACCTCTTGGGGTCCCACATCTCTGAAACTAGCCCTCCCTCTCCATCAGAAGCATTGTCTTGTTGACTTAGCCCTTGCCCTGGTTCCAACCACAGATTAAGGCTCCACTCACCCTCTTAAGACAAAGGCAGAGGAGAGCTGCTTAGGTGGTGAGCTGACTATTTCTATCAGAGTATTTCCCAGGCTACAAATCTCTGCTCAGGGCTCACCAAGGCTTGTCAGGGTCTTAATTAAGATAAGGCTTTCTTTTAGCCCACTCTCCCACAGCCAAGCTACATATGACTTGGGAAAATCATCATGTTGGAGTTTTCCTGGAAAAAGCAACATAATTTAGTAGGTGAATCAATAAGGAAAGCCATATGGAAATGAGCAGAGGAGGGAGCCAGGAGTGTAACTGATAATGTGTCAATCCCCAACCCGAATGCCAGCTGAGTGACACCTGTGGAATCTTGGCAACTCACTTGACTTCTTTCTGTGAGCCTCAGTTTTCTCACCTGAGAAATGACAATATAAGTCTCTGACGGGTGTGGTGGTGATTAATTGAGATAATACACATAGAGCACCTGGTATACAACAAGTGCAGTATTAGTATTTCTTTGAAATACTAATAGTATTTCTTTTCTTTCTTTTTTGAGTAGTCACTGGATATAAAGAACTGCAGGTGGTGATGGAGGACACAAGAAGGAGGGGACCCAGCCCTGCCCTAAAGAAGCCCCAGTCTGAAGGGAGACACAGCACTGCTTTCAGGGAGAACCAATCCGACGGGAGATCTAGACGGCAACAGAGAGTCCTGTCTTATCGGGAGAAATAGACCTGACCTGAGGGAGCCCCAGTCTGAGGAGAGACACAGCCCCGCCCTCGGGGAGCCCCGGTCTGAGGGGAGACGCGGCCCCATCCTCGGGGAGCCCTGGTCTGAGGGGAGATGCAGCCCCGCCCTCGGGGAGGCGCAGCCTGAGGGGAGAGAGAGCCTCGTCCTCAGGGAGCCCCAGTCTGAAGGGAGACACAGCCCTGCCCTCAGGAATCTCCTAGGCCAAGGTCCAGAATTCTCTAGGTATCCATTAATTGTTTAGGAAGAGGGAACAGGTGTCATAGCCTGTGGGTTCCGTGGGAAGGACAGTAAAGTGAGAGCTTAGTGCCAGCTTCTTTTTCAGACTGAGGGCCCCAGGCCAGGCTTTCCTGGCTGACAGTTCCTTCAGGCTGACAGTGCGAAGACCCCTGAGCTGCTTCATGCTCTGCCTTTCACCCCAAGACACTGAAGCTCAGCTCATCCTGAAAACAGGAGGAAACTTTAAAGGAATTGTTATAAACTGGCTGAAGACCTCAGGTGCCTCCTGGTGTGATGCAGTAAGGTACCCATAGCAGCACCCTAGGGGGTGCTTTTGCCAAAACTGAACCTGAATCCAGCCACACCTCAGCCCTGACTACTGGTTTACAGGGAAATACAGATGAACACGTTAGAAGACAGCAATTGGCTACAATGGCCCAACCCCAGAATGTGGGAAATTCTGCAGGACAAATGGCCGACTTCCTCCAAGATGCACATGGCATGAAAAGGTAACTATTTAGAGTAAGAGACTTAGGAGACCAAACAACCAAATGCAAAGTCTGGTTTAGATCCTGATTTGAATAAACCACTTGTAAAAGACATCTTGAGACAATCAGAGAATATTGAACACAGGCTGGGTATTAGACGATAGTAATGTCAGTAGGCATTATTAATATTGTGCTTCTGTTAAAAACAAAAAGGCAATAAAGCAAACCCTCTTTATCTGTTAGAAATTCCTCCTAAAGTGTTTACAGGTAAGAGGAAACAATGCCCTGGATTTGCTTCTTAATACTCAGAAGGGGGAAAATGTTATGGGGGAGCGAGGGTACATGGGGATTTGTTATAATCTCTCTACTTTTGTGAATGCATGAAATCTTCCATAATAAAAGTTGAAAATGAAAAAAAAAAAAGCAGCTCTGTTGGTTAAGAATCACAAATCTATATCCCGATATCGTGCTCTGAAGACTGAGTCACTGAGGGAGGCAGCATTCCTGGACTCCTCCCTCTGAGGGCCTCCCCCAATTATAACAGAGTGTCCCCGCCCACCCCCACCCCAGGACCACCAGGCTGGGGAGGGAGTGAGAAGGGAAACACAGATGCAGGAGGATGGAGCACAGCATGGCTCCATGTGCCACAGCCCACGAAAAGCCTGGGCGGGGGGGAGGGGGCAGTTCTGACTTCTGTGGGGCCTCATGATGATCTGAGACCCTGGCACAGAAGGACCAGAATCCCATCACGATCCACAGGTGTTTGTAGAGCTTGTATCTTATCTGCCCACACCTTCCACTGTCCCTCTGGAGGAGGAAGAAGAGAGCAAGACAGAGAGAGGAAGAGGGAAGACCTGAGGCCCCTCCCCACTCCAACACCCCCCAGCTGTCGGAGAACAAGCACTCATCTAACACCGAATCTGTATGAGGCAGAGTGGAAAGAGCAGAATCAAAACCTGGCGCTCCCTACAGTGGGATACCATCCCAAAGGAAGAAGGAATGAGTGCTGATGCATGCTGCAACATGGATGAAATTGGAAAACGGTATGCTAAACCAAAGAAGCCAGACCCCAAAGGACAAATATTATATGATTCCATTCAAATGAAATGTCCAGAACAGGGAAGCCTATAGAGACAGAAAGTAGAGTAGTGATTACTTGGGCCTGGGGGCAGGGGAGGCCGGAGTGAACACTGAAGGGTGCAGGGTTTCTCTGTGAGGTGGTGAACACATTCTAAAATCAACCTCAGTATTGGTTGCACAACTCTGGGAATGTACTAAAAACCGTTGAATTGCACACTTGAAATGGGTGAGTTGCATGGGGTGTGGAATATATCTCCATAAAGCTGGTTGGTTGGTTTTTCCAAAAATTTGCCCCACACCCCCAACCCCAGCTTGCCACTTCCTGCTATGAGATTTTAGGAACATCCCTTAAGCTCTCTGAGGTTCAGATTTCTCATCCACAAAATAGAGATTAACAGTAAAAACAACAAAAATACAAACCCCCCAGGAGAGGTTTTGTGCACACCAAATAAGGGCCTTTTTCCTCCCCAAAGACCCAGCAACTTAGCAACAGGGCAGGCTGGGGTTGGGGTGGGGTGCGGTCAAAGGCTTGTAAATTCTTGTAAAAAATCTTGAATTGTTCCCACCTGATCTCCATGTTTAGATCAGGAGCCTTCAGGAACCAGCTGTTGACCGTAAATATTCCCCTGAGAAATCTCCAAAAACCAGCCATCCCTCCATGCTTGTCCAAGCTCACAAGTGTCAGGCTCAGTTAGGGATGGTCAGTTCCTCTTAATGTTGTGACCATATTTGTGTGTGTGTGTGTGTGTAGCAGAGAAAATTTTTTCCAAATCAATGGAGTTAAGATTGTTTCACACCCATAAGTTGGTATGGGGCATTGAGGTAATTTTGATCAAGTTTAATGTTTGCCTGAAAATTTGGATATGCCGACCATTGGGAGTGGAGCAGCCTGGAGCATTTCTCCACCCTGGGACAGAAGGGGATTTGGGGATCACAGAGAGATCTTGTAAGTCTCATCAAGGACTGACTCTGTGCAGAAGACGATCAAGGAAAATGACAGAGGAGAAGATGAGAAGCCCCTTCCCGTCCATCACAAAGGCTAGTTCTACCCTCAGCTTCTGCTTCCCCCACTCTCCCCATCCCCAGGAATCCTGCTTGTCCCTCTGGCTTCACACCCTCCTAGGGCAACTCATATAAATCATGCCACTTTGTGCAGTCCCTGCGGATCTGTCCCCTAGGAAGGGCAGAGTGGTTTACAAGCCTCCTTGACAAGGGATTTGTAGCAGTAATCCCCACCCACAGAGAAAACAATCCCAAGCAGTGACCTTCAGTCTGACTTCGCTTCCATCTGAGGAGCAGCTAAGCTAGCCATCTGGGGTTCACCGGTGTTGTCTGGGCTTCAACCATGTCCTGATGCCAGTGTGCCCAGCGCCCAAGGTGCATGTCCCCTTGGACTCACCAGCCTCACTCAGAGGATAAACCAGCTGGATGAACAATTGAAGCCCTAGCCTCAGGCAGGGAATGGGTAGAGTTGGACAGAAGGAAGAGGTGAGGGAGAGCCACTGGCTCTGGACAGGCTGACCTTTCCCTGGAAAACGACTCAAGACCCGCAATGGTGGGTCTCTGGGAAGGGGTATGCTGGGATCAGTGCAAAGGGTGAGATTCTCTTTCTCACCAGCACCTCCCTCCATCCGCCGCTCAGGATTTTATTTTTACACATGCCAAGAACACTTTAGAAACACTTTATCGAGTTGCACTATCATGATTTAAGTAGTAAACACCAGCAGGCATTTATTGAGCACCTGTTGTATGCCAGGCTCTAGACAGAGCTAGGAGGTGACCTCCAAAGTTGTGTATTCTGGTGCCTTCCTTTAAAAGATGGGCAAGCAAAGGCCCAGGGCATCAAATGACTTATCCAAGATCACCATCTAATTAACAACAGAGACAAAACTACAGCCTAGACCCCCTGACTGCCCCATCCTCTGCTCTTTCCACCGTATCCAAGGACAAACACCTTGAGAATGGTTGCTCAGGGTTGAAAGGTTAGAAAACAAGGGAACCAACCCAGAAATTTATGCTTTTAGGACCGAATGCACTCACTTTGAGTGAATGAGACAAGCAGCCAGATGAAGTCTCGGTATATGTGATCCATGAATTCCCTCCTCCCGAATGAAGCAGACACACGGTCCTGGCTGGGTCTCCCCCTGGTGACCCCCATTCAAATAGTTTCTATAACTTGACACTTTCCTCCCATCTTAGCCAAACATTAGGTTGAACCATATGAAGTTGCTATTTTTATCGCTCAAAAATGATAGAATATTGACAATTCCATATGGTCCAACCCAATACACCCTCCCACGCAGTAATAAGTTGTGCACACAGAGCACCCAATGGGGAGGAAAAGGCACTGGACAGGGGGAGTCACAGGCTCGTGTCTCCGTGTCCCCATATCACTCTGACCCCAGGACTGGAGGCTACTCACTCTTTGACTTCTTTGGAGGAAAAGTCCAGATAGCGGTTGCTGATCCACTGAATCTCAAACCAGTCCCGAAAGCCGTTGTTGCCACAGCACTTGAACTCAATTTGCAGCGTGTCGATGGTCTTCTTCATGAAACACCTGCCTGGGGTGTCTGTGTCCCGGTAGAACTTCATGCCATTCTTGAGCCCGTGGGCCAGCGTGCTCTCCAGGGAGCCCAGCAGGAGGAAGCAGCAGAGGGCCACCAGGAAGAGGACAGTGTTGAAGAGGACACACACGGCCAGGTATGGCTTCAGCCAGGGCTTCCACTTGGCGTACTTGGCAGGGTCCAAGGCGTCATAGCAGATTTTACCCGCCAGAGAATTGAAGACACAGGACAGCACCCCCATCCCTATCAAGGAATTGGGCACAAAATGGCTCTCGGAATTGTCCATCAAGTCGCTCCGCTTCCTGAGTTCAATCTTTAGGAAGAGCCCTAAGCCAAAGATGATGATACCAGCCAACACGGAGAGCCAGTTCATGAGCCAGAGCCCTTGGGCCAACTTGACCCGCTTCTTCTGGTCAAATTTGACTTTCAGCAAAGCCATACTTGCAGAGTGCAGTCCAGGCAGCCTCTCACTCCTGACCTCAGTAAGCCCGGAGCCTGAAGACTCAGGGCCTTGGGAAGGGTGCAGATGGCCCAAGCTGCAGAGAGCTGCTCTGGGGGCTGCCCATGCTGCGTCCTCTAGCCTGGGACCCCTGTTAACTCACTAGTGGGAGCAGGGGCCTCAGAGTCACAGCTCATGAAGGGGCCAGTCCTCCGCGTGTCGTTTCTGCAGCTCCCTTGCCAGCAGAGGAGGGACAGACTGAAGGCTGCAGATTAAAAGTGGGATCCACAAGACATCTTGCTAATCTCTTTAGCCAGGTTCATCCCATTAGATAAAGCCGTGCCAGTTTCAGAACATGGTCAAGAGGAGCCTCCATGGACACCCTGGAGCAGAGAGCTCTGGGTTCAGCTTGAAGAATCAGGAGTAAAAAAGACAAGACTGGGCTTCCCTGGTGGCGCAGTGGTTGGGAGTCTGCCTGCCGGTGCGGGGGATGCAGGTTTGTGCCCCGGTCCGGGAGGATCCCACATGCCGCGGAGCGGCTGGGCCCGTGAGCCATGGCCGCTGGTCCGGAGCCTGTGCTCCGCAGCGGGGGAGGCCGCAGGGGTGAGAGACCCGCGTACCGCGAAAACAAAACAAAACAAAAAGACAAGACTGGCCAGAGAAATGGGCTTTATCTGGAGGTCTGGCTCAGATCACATCATGTGTCTCCCCAGAGCATGTTTCTGGGCCAAACTCCTTCAAAATTTGAAACTTTCTAATGGGACAAAAGACATCATTATCCAAGTTGAGAAACAAATGACAGATTGGAAGAAAATATTTGCAACATGTAAAAAAAAGAATGAATAAGCAAAAAAAGAAAAAAAAATTAACTGCCACAGTTCCACATCAAAAAAAAAAAAATCATCAACTGGAAAAGCAGGCAAAGGAAAGGAACAGGTGATTTATAACAAGCGAACCTGGAAAGTCCAAGGATCTGGAAAACTTGTCAATCTGAGTAGGACAAAGGGCAATGCAATTAAAACAATAATAAAAGACCAAACTTGCACATCTGTCAAAATTCTGTCACCAATATAAACAAAGGTAGTAGAAATGAGATATACATTCTTGATGAGTCTGTAAATTTATTATTATTTTTAATTTATTTCTTGGAGTAGTTTCAGGTTTACAAAAGAAATTGAACAGAAAGTACAGAGCGTTCCTAAATACTGCTTTCCCCCAACCAATTTCCCTATAATTAACATCTTGCCCTTGTGTGATACATTTATTACAATTGATGAATCAATTTTGATACATTATTAGCTAAAGCTCATAGTTTACATTAAGGTTAACTCTTTGTGTTGCATGGTTCTATGGGTTTTGCCAAATGCATAATGTCACGTTTCCACCATTATATCATATAGTATCATACAGAATATTCTCACTGCTCTAGTAACCCCTGTGTTCCACCTGTTCATTCCTCCTCCCCTCCCTGCCCAATCCCAGGCAGCCACTGTCTCTATAGTTTTGTCTTTTCCGTGTCATATTGTTGGAATCGTATAGCATATAACCTTTTCAGGCTGGTTTTTTTCCCTTTGCAATATGCACTTAATGTTTCTCCATGTCTTTTTGTGGCTTGATAGCTCATTTCTATTTATCGCTGAATAACATTCCATTAATGTGAATGTACCATTGTGTGTTTATCAATTCACCTATTAAAGGTCATCCTGATTGCTTCCAATTTGGGGCAATTATAAATGAAGCTGCTACCAAAACTCTACTATGGAGGTTTTTGTGTGAACATACGTTTTCAACTCATTTGGGTAAATACCTAGGAGTGCAATTGCTGGATCATATGGTGAGATTATGTTTAGCTTTGTAAAAACCTGCCAAACTACCTTCCAAAGTGGCTGTATTATTTTGCATTCTCACCAGCAGTGAATGAGAGTTCCTGTTGCTCTACGCCCTAGCCAGCATTTGGTATTGTTAGTGCTCTGGATTTTAGCCATTTTAATAAGTGTGTAGTGGCATCTCACTTGTTTTAATTTGCATTTCCCTAATGGCATACGTTGCAGAGCATCTTTTCATATGCTCATGTGCCATCTGTATATCTTCTTTGGTGAGATGTCTGTCCAGCACTTTTGCCCACTTTTTAATTGGATTATTTTCTTTCAATTATAAGTTTTTACAGACTTTTGGGAGAGTAATTTATCTATCTCTATTAAAATTTAAAATGCACATTGCCAGTGATCCAGCAATTCCACTTCTCAGAACAGCCTGTGTATAACCAGAAGCCGTTTTAAGAAGAAACCGATCCTGTCCTCAAATTCATGTCCACCAAATACCAAGGAAGTCTTCATGATTAGAATAAGAGGCCCATGAGCTCAAGGCAGTAAGAGGGTCAAATCTCCAACCTGGAATCTCCTTTCTTCCCTTTGTGTTTGTTGGGTTCCACTAGATTCACCGCCTACACACTCCTCTTTAAGATCTCCAAGTCACTAAGTAAAATCGAAGGAGTATTTCTCCACATGTAGAGGAGGTGTGAGAACAAAGCAACGGGACCTGATTTTTTTGTCCTCCAGCGTAGTCACCTCGGAAAACAAAACACGTATTCCATTGCTGGACCCAAGTCTAAACTCCAATTTGAAAGTGATTTCCAAGGCCAGGTTCTGAGCCATTTGGGGAAATCTGTCTTGTTATTTTATTGTCAGACCACATTTTGAGTCAAAAACAGTATTACCCAGAATGATCACTCTTCTAACAGCCAAGATTCAGCTTCTAAGTAGCTTTGGACCTTCAAAGGATTTCAACTCTTCATCATCAGAGACATTGAATAGAATTTGCTGCAGTTTCTGAAGTTCCCCCTCCCCCCAAGAGAGGACGTTCAGACAACCAGAAGTACGACCAGATTTGTACCTCATATACACAAAATCTGAGGACAACTGTCCCAAGAGAAAAGGGACATGAATGAGTGTGAAGCTGTCTCAGAGAATCTCTTAGGAGCACACATGCATGTGAGACAATCAGAGGGAAGGAGAAGAAAGATTTGCTGTAGAAAACAGAAACAAAAGTTAAAAATAGTTCTACAGGGATAAACCAATTAGTCAAGGACCTCTTTCTCCTCAAATGACCCAGAGGCAGGGTTGAGTCTATGGCAAGTCTGTGGATGCCCCCTGGTGGCCAAAAATATAATGACTTCAGTGGATGGGAAAGGGAGATTTCACCTCTCAGGCTAGCATCTCTGAGGATGTTAAATTATGTAGAAAGGCAAAAGAGAAAGACCAGACACATCAGAAATGTCCCTGGCCAAACTTTTCAAGTAGGAAGCAAGGCAGGATACGCTGAGGAACGAGCCAAGAAAAACAGGCTGCAGAGGAAGGAATAATGCATCCCTGCTGGAGGATGGGGAAAGCTGGCTACCTCCCCTGCTGGACCAATGGATGTAAGTGTTGACGCTATAAATCTATTACAAAGATAATAGAATAGGTTAATTGAATTAGGGGTGATTAGTTTTTCTTCCTTAGAATTTCCTTTCATGTTATTATAATAATGGAATGAAAATAATGAAATAGTACATTTAAAACAAAAAAATAAAGGAACCCAAGAGATCATCTCTCTGGACTTCCCACCCAAGGAAGAATGAGGCACAGGTTGGCTCTTTGAAGAATTAACTGACTCTTGCTTTCTTAACCTCTCTCCCTTGTCATCCTGACTTCTCTTTACTCTTTTTCCTTCTTCTTTCCTTCCTTCCTTCCTTCCTTCCTCCCTCCCTCCCTCCTTCCCTCCCTCCCTCTTTCTTTCCTTCTTGCAAAGCAACAAAAACCTTTTCTCATGAATTTTTGCCCTCCCTCTTTCAGGTATAGTCCTGGTTACTCCTCAGAATGAAGATCAAACAGAGCCATTAGAACCAGTTTAAAATGGAAAATTCCATAATGAACAAAAACTCCAGTTTGATAAGAACAAACAAGTCAAGATCATAAGGACTGTTTATGAAAGAATATTTCAGAAAGAGTTAAAGAGCAAGAAAATGTCCCTCTGCAACAGCCAGCTAACCCAAAAGCTTGACCTGGAGCTGGCTTGCAGGTATAATGTCCCCGAGCTTTACAGCCAAAATGTAAACATCCCCAAGATAGCAGAGGAGTTCAGTGTTCCTCCCACAGGTGCCAATCTGAGTGGAAGAGTGAGATTACACCACTTGATATCACTTGACACATACTTAATTGTTTGCTGAATTTAGACTAAAGCAGGAAGAAGATAGAAGTGAAAATAGTAACTAAACAGGTTCGTTTTTATGTGTCTCAAAGGAGAGTATAAGCATTTGGAAAATAGTCATCTTAAGGAACCAATTATATACAATCTTTGACTAATTAAAATTAATATGAGTAAGAAAAAGTATAATGCTCAAGTGAACATTCCCTCTCCCCCATATTCCCTCCCCCAGCATAAAAAATAGAATATCACCAGCACCATGGAGCAACCTGGGTGCCCCTCCTTCCGTACTCCCAGAGGTAACCTAAATTTGGTAATTATTCTTCTCTTGATTTTCTTTAGTACCTATGCGTGTGTGCTTCAACAATATATTTTTTAGTTTTGCATGATTTTGAACTTGCCATAAATAAAATCATATGGTAAGTATTCTTTTTGCTTTTGTATTTTTCACCCAAACATCACTTTTAAATCTTTTGTACATACAGGAAAGCCCACATATAATAAATGTACAATCAGCATTAAAATTTATTTTGAATTTCACTGATATTAATACACACAGCTATAGTTCATTAATTTTTAATCTTTAAATATAATTTTTATGTAAGTTTCAAGTGTACAGCATTATAAATCAACATCTGTATATACTACAAAGAGGTCGCTACAAAGTGCTCTATCTAAACTACAAGTCTAGTTACCATCCGTCACCATACAGTTGACCCCCTTTTCCCATTTCACCTACACCCAGCCCAGTTCTTTTCCGTTAACCACTAATCTGATCTCTATATCTGTGTTTGTTGGTTTGCTCTTTTTTTTATATATACTCCACATATGAGTCAAATAACACAGTATTTGTCTTTCTCTGATTTATTTCACTTGGCATAATACTGTCAAGCTTCATCCTTATTGTCACAAATGGCAGGATTTCTTTCTTTTTTATGGCTGAGTAGTGTTCCATTGTGTATATATACCACATCTTCTTTATCCATTCCTCCACTGATGGACACTTAGGTTGTTTCCATATCTTGGCTATTATAAATAAAGCTGCAATGAACATTGGGGTGCAATATATCTTTTCAAATTAGTGTTTTTGTGTTCTTGGATAAATACCCAGAAGTGGAATAGCTGGGTCATATGGTGGTTCTATTCTTAATTTTTTTTGAGGAATATCCATACTGTTTTCCATAGTGGCTGCACCAATTTATAGTCCCACCAACAGTGTATGAGTGTTCCCTTTTCTCCACATCTTCTCCAACATTTGTTATTTCTTATCTTTTCAATAACAGCCATTCTAACAGGTATGGGGTGCTATCTCACTGTGGTTTTGATTTGCACTTCCCTAATAATTAGTAATGTTGAACATCTTTTCATGTGCCTGTTGGCCGTCTGTATGTCTTCTTTGGGAAAATGTCTGTTCAGATCCTCTGCCCACTTTTAGCTGGCATGTTTGGGGTTTTTGTTGTTGAGATGTATGAGTTCTTTATATATTTTAGATATTAACCCTTTATCAGATATATGGTTTGCAAATATTTTCTCCCATTCAGTAGGTTGCCTTTTTGTTTTGATGATGGGTTCCTTTGCTGTGCAGGAGCTTTTTAGTTTGATGTAGTCCTATGTGTTTACTTTTGCTTTGGTTTCCCTTGCCTTTGGAGTCAGATCCACAAAAACTTCACTAAGACAGATGTTGGTGAGGTTACTGCCTATTTTTTCTTCTGAGAATTTTATGGTTTCAGGTCTTACATTCAGGTCTTTAATCCATTTTGAGTTAATTTTTGTGTATGGTGGAAGATAGGGGTCCAGTTTCATTCTTTTGCATGTGGCTGTACATTTTTCCCAACACCATTTATTGAAGAGACCATTCTTTCTCCATTGTGTTATTTGCTCCTTTGTCATAAATTAATTGTCCATATAAATGTGAGTTTCTTTCTGGTCTCTCAATTCTGTTCCATTGATTTGTGTGTTTGTTTTAGTGCTAGTACCATACTGTTTTTATTACTGTAGCTTTGTAGTATAGTTTAAAATCAGGTAGTGTGATAACTCCAGCTTCGTACTTCTTTCTCAATATTGTTTGGCTACTCAGGATCTTTTGTGGTTCCATACAAATTTTAGAATTATTTGTTCTATTTCTATGAAATATGCCATTGGAATTTTGATAGGATGCATTGAATCTTAAATATAATTTTTGATATAAAGAATATATGTAACATAGATTATAAATCATAATAATAAATTATTCACTCATCACACAACTCGAATATCACATGTAACTTGTATCAATATATATGATTCTTCTCATCACATTCTCCTCTGTTCTAGACTCATTGAGTCCCTTCCAAATTCATATGTGGAAGCCCAATGTGACTGTATTTAGAGATAGGACCTATAAGGAGGTAATTAAAGTCAAATGAAGTCATAAGGATGGGGCTGTAATCCGATAGGACTGGTGTCCTTATAAGAAGAGGAGGAGAGGGAATTCCCTGGCAGTCCAGTGGTTAGGACTCTACGCTTTCACTTCTGTGGGCCCGGGTGCTAAGATCCCACAAGCCTCTCAGCCAAAAACAAGGGTGGGGCGGGGGAGAGACCAGGGCTCTCTCGGCTCACAGGCACTGAGGAAAGGATATAGCAAGAGGACATGTGAGGGCATAGCAAGAAAGCAGGAAGAGAGTTCTCACCAGAAAACCAAATCAGCCACTACCTTGATTTTGGACTTGCTGCCTCTAGAACTGTGAGAAAATAAATATCTGTTGTTTAAGCCACAGTCTGTGGCATTTTGTTATGGCGCCTGAGCTGACTAATACACCTTCCCTCCCACTCAAGATGTAGCCATTATTCTAAATACCTTAGCTTTTCCTTTTCATATAAAAAGCATGTAGTGTTTCCCTACATATATATATATTTTTTTGCTTGTTTTTGAGATTTACAAAATTGTATCATAGATAGTCTCCAGTATCTTTTTTTTATCCAACATTATGTGTTAAGATTCATGCATGTTGCTGCATGCAGCTTCAGCTTATCATATGTTGATCATAACACATATGATCTATTCTCCTGTAGGTGGATACAGAGATGATTTCTAATGTTTTGTTTTGTTTTGTTTTTTGTTTTTTGTGTGTGTGTGTGTGTGGTACGCGGGCCTCTCACTGTTGTGGCCTCTCCCGTTGCGGAGCACAGGCCCCAGATGCGCAGGCCCAGCGGCCACGGCTCATGGGCCCAGCCGCTCCGCGGCACGTGGGATCCTCCCAGACCGGGGCATGAACCCATGTCCCCTGCATCGGCAGGCGGACTCTCAACCACTGCGCCACCAGGGAAGCCCCTAATGTTTTTTATTTTGTTTTGTTTTGTTTTGTTTTGCGGTACGCGGGCCTCTCACTGTTGTGGCCTCTCCCGTTGCGGAGCACAGGCTCCGGACGCGCAGGCTCAGCGGATTGTGCGGCTTTGTATGGGAGACCCGGTCCTCTTCGAGTGATATAAAAGAGCAAATCTTGATTGATAAGAGATGTGCTTATCTTACTACATAAGAATCTGAGAGAACAAAGATTTAGAACATATAGAGCAATACAACAGTATTTGAGGCTTAATCATTTCTACTTTGGTAGCTTCTGTTACATCACAAGCAAAATGCTAACAGCAGTTCCTTCAAGCACTGTTAAAGAACTTTCAGACCATTTCTTTTTGCCCAAATGGGATAAAAGTCTTAAACCTAGATGTAACTTCACAGCCTTGGGGAGGAGAAGTTGAAGGCCTGGAAACCAAGGCAAGATAAGTAGATGGGTTCCTCAGGCACTTGACTGCAAGGATACGGGCTTGTGCTACCTGTTGATGGTTCTTACCGTTGCTCTGAGAAATGTGGGCTCTTAGGAGGAAGAGCTCTGGACGGAGGGTGAGAGGACTGGCACTGTGAGTCAGGAGCCAAGGCCCCGGGCGTGAGCTCACCAGTGCCTGTGCTTTGGTTAAATTAGACCCCAAAGTTATTCACATTTGACTGCTTTGCTTAGACTTTGTAGCTGAAAAACAGTACTTAGAAGAACATTTTCACCCCTGCAATTTTTCCATCCTCTTCCCTGTCCCTCCCTGTTTTACGTTTTACCAACAAAATGGATAATAAATGCATAGTTTTAGCCTCTCAGCGTAAACCCTCCTGCTCAACCCCACCCCCAATTCCTCACCCCAGTCTGAGTAGGTGTAGCTTGTGTTCATTTTCCTCTTCTTTTCAGCACTTACTCCCCTTCAGCTGCTCCTAGCAAACCGTCAGAGCTAGCACATTAATAGCCACAGGCGCCTGCCAAAGAGAAATTCTGCAGAGGATCTAAAACCAATAACTTGTAACTTTTCCTAAATCAGGAAAGATTGGAGTGTAATAGATGAATAAACCGAATGCATCCTGAGTGACATGTGTCTTCTTTCTAGACGGGGAAATCCTTTACATTTGTGCAGAGAGCGATTTAAGAAGATTCAGAAGCTCTGGCACCAGCACAGTATCACAGAGGAAATTGGACATGCACAGGAAGCAAATCAGACACTGGTTGGCATTGACTGGCAACATTTATAATTACTTCACTACCAAATACATAAATTTGGATTTTTGTAACCCAGTTCGCTTTTCAAGAAAGAGAATAGGAAATAGGTTCTACTGAATTTGGAAATAAATTCTTTATTTAAGCTTTTCTTCCCAGTTTTATTTTTATAGTTTCTGGCTCTAGAGACTGATGAAAATCATCTTCTGTCAGCAGATTTTCTTGCATCATTTGCTGTGTACTTCAAACGTAACTTCTTGAATTTTAGAATCCAGGAAGGAGCTTCTCTTCCTGGGCTGGACTCAGCCCCTTTGTGGGCATCTGACTGCATTTGACTGTTCCCAGTAGTCTGAGCCGTGTCACATTACTGAACACAGGGAACTCCAGGCCTGAAGCTGATGCAACAGCAGCAGGAAACAAAGTCTCTGGTCTTTTGGGGTCACACTTCCTGATCCCTCTCAGTGACTCTCAACGTTGGGCCTGGGTCAGTGTCCCCACAGCTGATGGGACCCTACCTCTAAGCAAAACAGTGGATTTCAAAAGTGGCATTCCCTTGTCTCTACCGGCTGTGAGGGGGTTGGGGGACTCTCATGCTGGAGGAACCTGTGGGAAGAAGGAGAGAAGGTGGTGTCTTTGTGTGCTGGGTGATTTTCAGGGCTATACAAGGTGGGATTCCCCCGCCCCCCCCCTTTTTTTTTGCAAGACTTTTGGCTTTGAGGAATAAACTCATGTTAAAGGGCTTATTGAAAACTTAAGAGTATCTTAATTTTTCAGATGATATAGTCTCTTATTTCTAAGACTAAGTTGAAAGAGTGTATACATCTAGAATCAAACACTAGCAAAAAAATGAGAATTCAGTGTTTTAAAATTCCCTCACCCCCACCCCTTCCAGCATTTCCTGGAATAGATGAATTGCTGTTTACCTGCTGGCTCACTTAGTACATTTCTGGGACACCTGTGCGCCCAGGCTTTTCATTATTTTTAAACATTATTGTTCTTACTAAGAGGTGCCTTCCTAGAATGATAGCCGCTTAGTAAAATAGTTTATAACCATGACATGCCATGTACCACTCTTGTGTGATACACATGTGCTGAGAGCTTGGGTACATGGAGAGTGATGGCAGATTTGGTGGAAGAATAAATACAGAGCCTCTCTGAGGTGAGGCTAAGGGATAAATGAATAATTAGAGGCTCTTGGATTTTTTTTAGCCAATGAAAATAACCCTTTCACTCAGTTTTCTTTGAACTCTGCATCTAAAAGTTCCATCCTGCTCAGCTTTGCACACTCCACGGTACACCCAGGAGGAAGGTTGGAGATCCAGACTTTCAGCTAAAGTAAGTGGAGATGTAGAAGCCACACTCAGTGCTTCTCCAGGGTGGTGTGTGAAGAACCCCTTCCTCTGAAAGGATGACCTTGACCCTTCTTGCCTGGGACTGAGTCACCCATCTGAGAGGAGGCCCTTCTCACCCAGGAGGAAGAAAATCTGCTTTAGAACACAGTGCTCACCCCCCTTTTCTGGCCTTCCTTCCATTCATAAGATCTGGTGGTATGGGCTGTGGATCGCATCGTGATTTTATTTTATTTTGGCCTTTGTCACATCCTCATTCCTTTAGCTTTTAAGTTTAGCTTCTTTTGGCTTTTCTCCAGTTGTTAACCAAGCTTAAATTTAGAATGATAAGACCAGGTTTCTCCCTGTGTAGTTGAATTTATAAACATGTTCACCAAATCGTAACAATACTTCAGCTTTCAGAGCTGATTTCATGTAAGCCTGTTGTTAGCAGAGGGTGTCCCTGGGTTCCATTCTCTGAGAATGTCAGGGAGTCTGAGAGAAGATGAATTTACATGAGATAGCAGCAACACATGTGCCCCTTTATCTTCTGGTGTGTGTATCATTAATCTAATTGTCTTCCCTAACTAACGAATCATCTTAGTTTTATGATTTGTTCCGCATGTATTATGTTTATATTAGAAATGTTTATATAACATGCTTTCCATATCAGGGAAAATCATATCTGTTTAAAAAATTGGCTATAACTTTATTATCTGTGGACAACTTGTAAAATTTGGAATGTAGCATATGTAAAAAGTTTAAAGATATCCAAATAAATGCTTTAGGTGTTGACATTACTTTGCATCTGCCTACATTTTCTTCCTGTTTTGTTTCACACAGTTAAATGCAGTGGAGGTGTTCCACATGTCACCTTGCTATAGATAAAGTGGGACACCTGTATTAGCTTGAAATTTAAGATGCTTATATTATTAGTGTCAGTTATGGCTGTTGGCCAAACGATCTTGACCTTCTGAAGGAAGCTTGATCATCATTTCAGCTGATTAAGTTTCGTATTCACTGACTGTGACAGCTTGTGACCTTTCTGAACCACTGTGGACCTCAAATCACTGGGAAAACAGGGCACTCGAAGTCTCTCCCAGCTCCAAGTCATTTCCTCCAAGAAGGGTTAAACTCTTGCTTATCCTTACGTAGTGATCTCCAGGCCCCTGTTCTAACACACTCCCCAGACACCTCCTGCTTAGGAAAGACACATGTACGAAGGAAGCTACATCCTATATTTGCAAGGGAGTCATTGCCTATGAAAGTTCTGCTGTGCTCTTGAAAATCCTCTTAAAAGGAAAGCATCAAACTAAAAACACTAGGTTTCTCTGTCTCCTGGTCATTAATGCTGCTCCTAGCTAGCTTACTACCTCCCCTGGTCCTAATGTCATCAGCTCCAGGACACATTAATTCCCTCTGACATGCTCCTTCCTTGCTTTCTCCCTGCTTCTGTTTTTTGAGTCAGGTTTATTGATGTTTATTTTCCAAATAGTAAAATTCACCCTTTCTAGTGGATGGTTTTATGCATTTTGACAAATGCATACAGTTGTTTTAACAAGCCACACTCAAGAATAGAATAATCCCATCACCCAGGAAGTTCTTTCATGCCCTTTTGTGGGCACCTTCTCCCCGCATCCTGACCCTTGACAACCACTAATTTTTTTCTGTCCCTTTGTCTTGCCTCTTCCAGAATGTTATATAAATATGTCATATATGTAGAGTTTTGAGTCCGGCTTCTCTCTAAGAAGACATGCATTTGAGAGCCGTCCCCGTTCCTTTTGGTTGCTGAATCGGTTGCTGAATCGTGTTCATTGTGCAGATGTATACCCACTCACCAGGTAAAAGACATTTGGGCAGTTTTGGGTGGTTATGAATAGAACCATGACAAACAATCCTGTTACAGGTTTTTGTATGGACCTGAGTTTTCATTCCCATCAGGCAAATAGCTAGGAGTTGACTCATATCTTAATCCACTCTACACCATCCTCACACTTTGACTTTGCTGCTTACTTATACGCATCCTCTGATTTGAAGGACAAGATATAATGCCATCAGGAGTTAAGGGCTGATATTTCCTCCCTTCCAGCCAGTCTCATGTCCTCTGAACACCAAGAGGGCATCCGCTCTCCCCCTGAACCTCCGTGTTATTCCCCCACATTCCTAGCCCTTAACACACGGTGCTGCTGGCTTGCCACACTGACAACAGGAGCCTTTTTTTTTTTTATGTAGTAGCAGGTCAGAGACCATAATTGTCATAATGCCCCCCCCCCCCCCCCCCCCCGGCCCCTGGCTAAGCTGCAAACCTGCTGACCTAGCATTATAGGTGCCCGGACGAGGGGAGGCGGGGGAGTGTGCGGAGCAAGCCCCTAATCTTATTAATCTGAATTGAGGTTACTAAGGGTTTATTGGCTGGTGGCTCAGTCCTGGGCTTGAAAATGTTGCAAGAGGCTGTGGGCTCTTGAGCTGAGGCTGCAGACACTAGGACACTTATCTTCCTAAATGTTGGGAATAAGTAGCTATTACTACTTCACTATGGAGTAATTGTTTCAGAAATAAAAGTTCTAAGGCATTGTCTTTACCTCTCACCCTTCCCCAGGGCTAGGCTGACAGGACTTGAAAGCTGGCTGAGTCCCTTGGGAGAAATGAACCTACATTGGCCCAAAGAAAGACTGAGGTTAGACATAAGGAAAAACCTGGTCCCAGTCTTGCTAGGCACTGGTAGATGACCAAATGAGTTGGGCAGCTTCCTCTAGCAACTACCTGGCTACCTGAGAAGACCGTGAGAATGCAGCCCACCCTAAGTCTGTGTAATGAGAAAAGAGCAATTGTGAGTTGCTGCCTGAGCATTTACAGTGTGACAGCCCTGCTCAGGTCATTTAGATAAGGACCTGAGCTTAGGTTTCCCGTCCCTGGAATTCCTGCTTTGCTTTTCCCGAAGCACGTTTCAAAATAACCACTTAGAGTGGAGCCCGTCCCAACCACTTCTTAAGTAATAGGTGCTTGCTACCCTGCTCTCTGTCTCCTGCTCTCGAGAGCTGGAATGGAGGACCCCCCTTCCACCGGCTCATTGCACACACACCCCTCGCTTCTGTTCTGGGACCTGCGAGTAATAGACCTTGTGAATTTACTCCCTTTGTATGAGTGCCTTGAAACTGCCTTCGATCAAAACAACCCTGGGGTTTTCACTTCCCCAAAGTGGGAGCTGGGATGCTGAGGGAGCTACCTGCCAACCCTGTGTGGGTGGCTTAGTGCCCCCTCATTCAGCGGGTCATAATCTGCATGTTCTTAATTCAGTACGCCAGCTCCAGGCCCCCTGCACAGTCTGCTCTGAACCAACTGGTGGTATTTATTGTGGGATCATTTTCCCCTTGATCCTCCCAACAGCTCTCAGATTCTGACCAGAGCAGGGGGGATAGAAAATGGAATTTTTGCTTAAATCACTAAATTAAGATTCCACATACTAAAATATTGAACTCAGCTCTGGTCCAGATTCTAGCAAATGTTGAGATTATTTGGATAACCTAATAGTCCCTGTTCTTGCAGATAAGAGATAGCAAGAGGGAGAGAGGTGACACCCACGCTGTTGAAACAGCTGCCGTGATCATTAGCAGTGCTACCTTTCAGTGTCAGGTTTGGTTTGGTTTTGTTAACAAATGTTAGCAAGAATCAGGGATCCTGTGCTACATACATTTAAGACAGGCACTTAACGAAAGTGATTTTCGTACAATATAATTTTTAATGTCTATTGTACAGCTGTCAACAGCATCGTTATACGTGTGGACCTAGAGCAGCATTTTCTTGATGGTTCTCAGTGCTCCTGGGAGGGGAGAGCTCCGGGACCCTCATCAGAGGGGCTGACTCCCTCAGTGTTGTCCATGTGGGTCATTCCTGGGTCTCCACACTCAGAAGTCGAATTGAATTAAACCTGGGACCAAAATCTGACAGAATGTCCAAACATCTTTGATCTGGTCTTAAGCCTGAGAGAATTAGAGCCCCAGAACATACCCCAGGCAGCACCAGAAGTCTTATTTTTTCCACACTGAAAACTCCTAGGACAGCAGTGAAATCATTCCCTCCTTCCCCTGAAAGCTTCCTTTCTCTCTTTTTCCAGAAAGAAGTAAAAACTTCTTTTGCAGTTGCTAGCATGAGAAGATGAGCTGTCTCAAAGAATCTTCTTTAATGCGGAGGCATTCGGGAAATATCATTTTGCAGGATGGGTATCTGGGGCAAGAAGCAGGACGAAGCTCGCAGAGGACTCTGTCCTCCACTGCAGACAGTGTTGTCCGTGGGGCCTGTCACGGCACCTGTGTGGGCGTCCCAGGAGGTGGGGCCTGGTCTCCAAAGGGTGGACTCTTGTCTGATTGTTGCTCCTCTTCCACAGAAGGGCAGCCGTCTAACCCAGTGCTTCCATAGATGAGCCAAAGGAGGTTACCCGGCAGTTTAGCCAGAACATGCCTACAACCCAACTCCCTCAGCCCGTGGCTCACTCCTGGCCAAGTGACTGAGGGCTTGTGAAGGTGACACAAAAGCTGTATTTTTGCTGAGGGACATAATCCCCTCTCTCTAAGTTCTCTTGCCTCATGATTGAGAATTCCTCTTTTGAGCCCTCAGTCCTCTGGAGAGACCATTACTCTTAGAAAAGTGTAACTGTCCCTCACCTTCTGTAATTAAATAAAATGGCTGATGTGTCCATCTTTGCATTTGAAAAACATGACAGCGTGGCCAGTACATTTTTCAGACTTTTAAGCTTATGCATCAAGTGACACTTCGGATATAGAATGAAGCAACTCGGAGCTCAACGTAACAGCCAACTTATAAAAAGGGAGCAGCCCTCAGGTGTAGCCAGTAGCCTCAGGGTGGAACTGAATTCCTGTGCCATGAGGAGTCATCCACTGAGAGGCCCCCCTGAGTCCACCATGAGGGTGCATCCTAGGGCAGTGAGCCTAAGTGGGACTCATTCACTCACACTTTGGACAGTCATTCAATGGAAGTTTTTAGGGACCCTGAATTTTAAATCCCACCATCCAGAAGAGTCTCTGTGAGACGGCCACCCTCCTTGCGAGATTCAGACTGGATCGGGGGGGTATCCGCGTTTCCTGGAATCCACTACTTCTCAGTGCTCAGAGGGGAGGGGGTCCCGCGACCGTCAGCCAGCCTCTGGGGCCTGGCCTGCATCCACACCCTCGGCTTCCACCTGGTTACCCTTGCCCAGCTTCTTCACGCTCTCCAGAAAGGCCTTCCAGGTCTCCGGAATGCTCTTCTCCAGAAGCCAGCCCTCACTCTCGCACTCGGGGTCTTCGGGGTTGGCCACGCCTTCCAGCGCCGTGTGCAAGTAGCGCAGCCCGATGGTGATGGTCACCTGGTGTGGGGAGAGGAGACTTAGAGGAGATCTGGGAGAAGTAGCTGGGGCAGGGGTTACCAGGAAACCATGGCAGCCACCGGCCTGCTCATCCTGGGAGCCCTTCAAACAAGGTTCTGTTGGGGCTGGGTTGGCGAGGCCCTGGGTGCTCGCGATCTGCCTGTGCTCCAGCCTCATCTCAGGCCCCATTCTCCTCCCTTTCCAGCCACCCTGGGCTTCTTCGGATCCTGCCCACACCCAGCCTTTCTCCTCTCCAGTTTTACCATTTGCTGTTTTCTCTACTTAGAACATGATGGGTGCCCCTGCACCTGAATTCTCCCCTCCTTGCCCTCAGGTCTCCCCCTTCCTGGGGGCATTAATCCTGGGCTCCTTCTCTCTGTGTCCACCCCCACCCCCACCCCGTTCCTGGCACGTTGCTAGGCACATAGCGGGTGCTCAGCAACTATTTGCTGGACAGAATTAGAAAGTCATCTCCTTTTCTGCAAACAATAGTGATATACGGTTTCCCTCTACTTGTGTTATTGTGATACTAGAGCATGAGTGGGTGATTTGTTTGGATTTGCTCACTGGAAGTCACTGCAGCAGACTCTGGTGCCAGAATGCCTGGGTTCAAACCTCAGCCCTGGCACTTAGCCAGCCATGTGACCAGGAAACCTCAGTTTACTCATCTGGTTTGCAGATTTTCAGATGAAGTACTGCCTGCTCCATGGGCATGCTGTGATGCTTCAGTGTGTGTAGAGCATGGTACCTGGTGCACAGCAAGGATGAATAGGAATATCAGCTGTAGTTGGTTATTAGTGAGCATGGTAAGTACTGTTTCCACTTTTCTAACCCTGTATTGTGTTAGCCACTTGTTTCTACACAAATTCCTGGTTTGCTGTCTTACACTCTTCCTTTGATGGTATAGCAAACTCTGTGAGAGGCCTGGGCCCACTAATGGAGAACATCCACCCCCTGAGGGCAGGGGTGGCCTTGATGCATCTTGTTCACCTGCTGTCCCAGCCCCTACAACAGTACCCAGTGGTGGCAGGGCCTCAGTAAACATGTGTTGAATGAATGCTCTGGGAGCATTTTATAATTACAGCAGTAGATGATAATAGTAACGAATAGTTTTAGGTTATTGTTGACTGAAAGTTTAATAAGATATTTTTACAGTGGAAAGACTCACCTCCAGGAAGTCCTCCTGGTGTGCGTGTACCCACTCTGATTCCTTCCTGCTTTCCTCAAGAAGGCCCCCTGTTGCACTATGAATTTTGTGCTAGGTAATGGTACTCCCTTTGGTTCATGAGTCTGATGTGGACTCATGGATTGTGAGACCCAGGAGGGCAAGGCTGAGGGCAGAATCTTATCAGCCCCCCTTGTGCCCATCACAGAGCTCTGCCCACTAAAAGCCTCAGGGGAAAAGTGAAAGGGGATTAAAACTCCCTGTTCCCAGTGAACAGTTCCTCTCCTTAAGCGGTCACTAGGTTCCTGGAAAGGTGGGTAAACTGAGAGGCAGCCAATGGAACTCCATTTTCCCACTGACTTCATTTATCCTTTCAGTCTTCTTTTCATGTGTTTTCAAGGGATGCAAACTTCTAACCTTCTAGCAGTAAGCTTCTCTCCTTATTCTACCCACATATTCCCAAGACTCTGCCTCAAGGAGCTGGTGACTAATAAATCATCATGAATATGCTTGTGTTTGCCTTAATGTGAAAAGAAGGCCTTCCTCCCCATCTCACCCCCTCAACAGGCAGTACAGTTCTTCTGATGTGATGTGGTAAGTTAGAAGTGGTGCGTCTCAGCTGAGAGCCCAGCTATGTGTGAATTTCCATAGCACTAAAGATTGACTTATTTAAGGGAACCTTTCAGTGAATCTTCTCTGATGGGCAAAGTTTCCCCACCTAATGTTTCTGGTTTTGTACATTTAGGTTTTGGAGTTTGGGTTTCTGCTGTCAGCTCAAAGCATGAACCCATGAGTCACTCTCTGTGCCACCTTGGTTTACCCCTCGCTGACAGTGGGCTCTCGTTCAGCACCCAGGACAGCGCCCAGCACTCGTAGGTTTTTGAGAACTATTTCTTCAGTAAATGAATGAATGAGGGCTTGCTATATCCCAAGACCTGCAGCTACAGAGAGGAATTAAACCTAATAGATGAGATAAGATGAACCTACAAATAATTAGAATACCAGGTAAATTGCTACCAGAATCTCAAGAGAAGCACAAATCATTGACTGAACACTTTGATGTGCCTGTATCTCCTGTTGCCTCCCAATAGTTCCAAAGCTAAATGCTGGCAGCCCCCTATAACAGAGATGTTAAATAACTTTCCGAGTCCTTAGACTCAAAAAGTGGAGACACAGGATAAACCTCTGAAACATGCAAAGTGAAAGAAGCCAGACCTAAAAGGTCACATATTATATGATTCCTTTTATCTGAAATGTCCAGAATAGATAAATCCACAAGGACAGAACACAGATTGGTGGTTACCAGGGGCTTAGGGGGAGGGGAGGAGGGGGACTGACTACTTAATGGGTATGAGGTTTTTTGAGGGGGCGATGGAAGTATTTTGGAACAAGGTAGAGGTGGTATTGTGATTGTACCAAATGCCACCAAATTGTTCACTTTAAAATGGTTAATTTTATGTGCTGTGAATTTCAACTCAACGAATTCTTTTTTTTAAGTGATGGGACAGAAACAAAAAAATAGAGGTGCTGGTGTTCAAGCCTGGGCCTGCCTGCACAGCGGGCAGAGGGCTGGTTCCCAGGAGGGAGACCCAGGCCCAGCTCCACCCCATCAAATCCCAATGGGGCAGGTGGCTCCCTCTTGCCCTGCCCCCCACCAGCCCAGGGCCTACCTCAAAAAGCCAGACGAGGAGCGTCACAGCGCCCACGGAATTCATGAGGCTGCTGTAGTAGCTCAGCAGGGCGGCCCTGCAGCCGCGCACCCACAGGTTGAGCTCCTCCGTCTGGTGGTCATAGCTGTAGTGTGCAGAGTTATTGGTGAGCTGGTACTGGATGCAGGGCCGTGGCGAGCTGGGGTTGCAGCAGCTGAAGGGGACTCCATCCACCAGGTACCGCCCATCCACGTTGCTCTTGATGCGACTGGAGGAGAAACAGACGGCTTAAGACCAGCTGCTGGAACTTCTCACCAGGGGCCAGCTCCTCCCATCCCCCACCTCTGAAAATCTGGAATATTCATTCATTCATTTGCTGTCTTGAGAAATATTTACTGTACACCGACTATGCGCCAGCCACTGTTCTAGGTGCTGAAGATGGAGCAGTGACCCTAGAGAGCCAATGCCCCAGCCTTCCTGGAGCTTATGTTTAGAGGGTTAAGATAGATGATAAACCAAGAGGCAAGTAAATAAGGAACATACGTATTCTAGCCCTTGTGGAGCAATGGAGTTTCAACAAAACCTAACAATGACATTTCAAGAATTCTGTGGACCTGCTGATCCTGAAACTGCCTGGCGTTTACGTCCTGGAAGCCTCTGAGCAATCTTTGGTAAAACTAAGATCCAGAATGCTGTTCACCGTACTGATTTGCCAGAGGATGGCCTGTTAGAGGTTCAGGATTTCTTCAAGGTCCTGGATAACTAGCGGTATAGATAGTAAAGAAGTCACAAGTTGGGGCATTTAGACAAGAGTGAGTCACACACGTGAGAAACGTGTTCATTCTTTTATTGCCCATTGTTTTAACCTGACTGAATACAAGATCGACAAGAGCACTGTACTCCTGGCAATTATTAGGTGTGTTGGAACATGGATGTTGCACTGTAGACAACATTTAACACCAGTCTGTGGAGTGCTGCATTGTAAACTGCAAAATAAAGATTTATTTTTTTAAAAAACCCACCACTCCGTGCTGCCAGGCCCTGGCATGCAGTGATTTCTTGGGTCTGTGCCAAGCTGGTAGGAAGAGTAGCAGGACAGGTGGTGACTGAGACAAGACTGCCTAGCATTCATGACCATCAACTTCAGCACCCAGCCCCCTCCCCAACCTCATCTCCTCCTTACAGATCACTGGGGACCAAGGTCCCCTCTGGCCAGATCACTTCTGCTCAACAGATGTTTCCAGAAGGCCTGCTCTGTCCCTGGGCCTTTGCAGGAGCAGAGAATGGGTCTTTGCCCATGGCTTGCTCTCCATACACACTGACCTCTGCCCCCAGCCGGGTGGGAGCTCCGTACTCACCTGAAGGATGCAACTTGCACAACTTTTGCATCTCTCCACTTATACATATATTTGGTTAGAGCACACCATACATTCATGCAGGTTCAAAATTCAAAAGGGGCAGCCATCGTTATAATGAAAATTCACTCCCTCCCCATCAGGCAGGCTTGGTATGTTCCATCTGACCTGTTCGTGGTTACCCAGGCAACTTTACGTATCAAAATTAATGGAGGGAATTCCCTGGCGGTCCAGTTGTTAGGACTCCGCACTTTCACTGCCAATGACACAGGTTCAATCCCTGGTCAGGAAACTAAGAGCCCACAAGGCACATGGCACAGCCAAAAATTAAAAAAAAAAAAAAAAAGATTCATGGAGCTCCACACTTAAGATTTGCACCCTTGACTGTGTACATGTTATCTTGAGTAAAAAAGGTTTTTTTTAAGTTGCACATGAACAATGCATTACATAATGGCAGCAGACTTTTACAGCACAAGGATAGGGAGTATGTAATTGTTCATAATAGAAATTGTTTCCAACAATGTTCATTGAAATGGTAATTAATTATACTCTTAAAAAAAAACATGTTCGTGTTCAACTTCTAAATAAAATACCCTCAATACAAAAAAATCTCCCACTCATTCTTGTCCCTTGGCCCCCAAGTTCCCTCACTGTGGCCAGCTCTGTCTGTCCTTTCACAGAAGCTTCAAGCATGGATAAGCAAGCTCAGATTTTGCAGAGTTCTTATTCTTCCTGTATGTTTGTTTGTTTATCCAAATGGTAGCATTATATACACACTGTCTTGAATCATTTTTTTTCTCTTAGCAATACCTTAGAGATTTTTTTTTTTTTTTTTTTTCGGTACGGGGGCCTCTCACTGCTGTGGCCTCTCCCGTTGTGGAGCACAGGCTCCGGACGTGCAGGCTCAGCGGCCATGGCTCACGGGCCTAGCTGCTCCACGGCATGTGGGATCTTCCCGGACCGGGGCACGAACCCACGTCCCCTGCATCAGCAGGCGGACTCTCAACCACTGCGCCACCAGGGAAGCCCCCGCGAGATCTTTTTATATCTGTCAAATGGAGAGTGTTCTCCAGGTTTTAATGAGGTGCATGGTGTCCCCCTTGTGCAGATGGCCCATAGGGTACTATCCATTTCCTATTGATGGACATTTGGGATTTTCCCAGTGTCTTGTTTTTTTTTTTTTTTCTTTTCTCTTTTTTAACTTATTTATTTATTTATTTAATTTTTGGCTGCATTGGGTCTTTGTTGCTGCGTGTGGGCTTTCTCTAGTTGTGGCAAGTGGGGGCTACTCTTCGTTGCGGTGCGTGGGCTTCTCATTGTGGTGGCTTCTCTTGCTGCGGAGCACGGGCTCTAGGCGCGCGGGCTTCAGTAGTTGCGACGTGTGGGCTCAGTAGATGTGGCGCACGGGCTTAGTTGCTCCATGGCCTGTGGGATCTTCCCGGGCCAGGGCTCAAACCCGTGTCCCCTGCATTGGCAGGGGGATTCTTAACCACTGTGCCACCAGGGAAGTCCCCCCAGTGACTTGTTAATACAAACATGGACATGGGTCATTTTGCATATTGGGAATATATCTAGAGGATCAATTCCTAGAAAAGGCATCTCTGAATCAAAGGGTCCACCTGTGATTGCACCCGAGCTCTGCCATATTTCTCCTCTCGGGGGTTGTACAGTCACACCCACACCAGCCACACCCACATAAGTCCTGTTTTTGATCTTTGCCAACCTGACAGATGAAAAATAATACCTCAGAGTTGTTCTGATTTCTGTTTTTCTCATTATAAATGAAGTTAAGTATCTTTTGATGTGTTTAAGATCCATTTGTGGTTTCTTTTCAGTGAACTGTCTGCTGATCGGTATGATTAAGACCTGAGGAAGGCTCTGAAAAATGTGGCCTCCTTGGTTCCAGAACAGTCCTCGCCTGGGTTATGGCGACCGTATTTCCACACACCCTGTAGTCCCTGCCCTCTGTTTCATGGACAGAGCCCACTGCCCAGAGAACAGCTGGCCCTGGATGCACAGGTGATCCAGGACCAGGACCACGATAAGAGCAGGACAGCCTGAGTTTACTCCTGGTTCATCCCTCTGGAAGAATTCCTTAACCTCGCCAGGCCTCAGCTTACTAATCTGTAAAATGGAGTTGACATAAGAGTTGTATGAAGGGATCCACGTAAAGAGGCTAAGAAGAGTGCTTGGTACGTACTAAGTGTGTAAGACATGTGGACTCCTGGGCTAGGGCTGGGAAGGATAACAGCAAGAGACTTCATGTGAGCTCTCTGTGTCGTCGGGGAGCAGCTGTGACAGTGGAACAGGCCACATGACACCGCTGGGGAATAGTCTCTTGTGCGTGGGTGGTGTGGCCTCTGCCAGCTGTGGAGAAGAGTGCCTTCTGTGACCAAGACTGCAAGGGCAGGAACTTCCCTCGTGGTGCGTTGGTTAAGAATCTGCATGCCAATGCAGGGGACATGGGTTCGAGCCCTGGTCCAGGAAGATCCCACATGCCACGGAGCAACTAAGTCCATGCGCCACAACTACTGAGCCTGCGCTCTAGAGCTCATGAGCCACAACTACTGAGCCCGCGTGCCACAACTACTGAAGCCTGTGCGCCTAGAGCCCATGCTTCTCAGCAAAAGAAGCCACCGCAATGAGAAGCCCGCTCGCCACAACTAGAGAAAACTCACGCACAGCAACGAAGCCAAAAATGAATAAATAAATAAAATATTTTTTAAAACTTAAAAAAAAAAAGACTGCAAGGGCAGAGCTCAATGCCAGCCTGAGGCAGGGGCTGTGAGACATTTGTCCAATGACGGGAGTGGCTGCTGCTGAAGCTCAACTGCACCGAGCGCCATGGTAGCAGCTCTCCCTGCACAGCCCCGCACGGCACCTGGTTCCGCTGGCTGGGGTGGTCCTGGGTGGTCCCAGTGGGAGGACTGGAGCAGAGGCCCTTCAGCTTGGGGCTCCCACCCCCTTCTGAGGGACGAGCCAGCCCTGCCCAGGACTGAGCAGACATAGTCTCCTACCCCTAGGACCAACCCCAGCAGGCCTGGTCCCCAAATGCAAACACTGTTCGTCCCTCTTCCTGACCTGCAGGCTGTCCCTGGAGCCCACTTCCACCTGCACAATGTCCCACCTGGGCCATTCCCAGTGTCCCCATGGAACGGAGTGGGTAGAGCACAGAGAGCTGGCCTTTGAGTCTCAAATATGCATTTGTGAGCTGTGGACTTGTGTGAGGTGCGATAATCACACCCCCTCTCAGGGGCTGTGGGAGGTTTAAATGAGGCAGTAGGAGGATGCACTTGACACAGGCCCTATGAGAATGCGGGCTCTTCCCCACTCATGGCCATCTGGGGGGGACCCTACAACCCACCAGGCTGTTCTACAGAGGAGGAAGTGGAGCCCAGAGCAGGGCAGGGCCTCACACAAAGTTACACAGTAAGTGGAAGTCCAGCCCACAGCAGTTGCCCACCCCTCCCCTCAGAGTTTCCTCAGAGCCTCTCAGGTCCTTCCTGCCTGTTGGCTTTTCTAGCTAAACTTCCTGGGAAAGTGTGAGTTCTCTCCCCTGTTCCCTGTCCCAGGAGCCCTTCCTTGTCCAGCATCATCTCTCCTATGCACTCTCCAGGTGTCCCTAAGGTGGGGTGAAGCCTACAGATCTGCCTCATACTCCCTGAGGCAGGGCTGTGTCTTCCCTCAGACTGGGGACCCTGAGGGTATGCCTGGCTTGGTGGACATTGGGGTTCCCCCAGACCCCCAGCCTAGGACCTCTTGGGGTCCCACATCTCTGAAACTAGCCCTCCCTCTCCATCAGAAGCATTGTCTTGTTGACTTAGCCCTTGCCCTGGTTCCAACCACAGATTAAGGCTCCACTCACCCTCTTAAGACAAAGGCAGAGGAGAGCTGCTTAGGTGGTGAGCTGACTATTTCTATCAGAGTATTTCCCAGGCTACAAATCTCTGCTCAGGGCTCACCAAGGCTTGTCAGGGTCTTAATTAAGATAAGGCTTTCTTTTAGCCCACTCTCCCACAGCCAAGCTACATATGACTTGGGAAAATCATCATGTTGGAGTTTTCCTGGAAAAAGCAACATAATTTAGTAGGTGAATCAATAAGGAAAGCCATATGGAAATGAGCAGAGGAGGGAGCCAGGAGTGTAACTGATAATGTGTCAATCCCCAACCCGAATGCCAGCTGAGTGACACCTGTGGAATCTTGGCAACTCACTTGACTTCTTTCTGTGAGCCTCAGTTTTCTCACCTGAGAAATGACAATATAAGTCTCTGACGGGTGTGGTGGTGATTAATTGAGATAATACACATAGAGCACCTGGTATACAACAAGTGCAGTATTAGTATTTCTTTGAAATACTAATAGTATTTCTTTTCTTTCTTTTTTGAGTAGTCACTGGATATAAAGAACTGCAGGTGGTGATGGAGGACACAAGAAGGAGGGGACCCAGCCCTGCCCTAAAGAAGCCCCAGTCTGAAGGGAGACACAGCACTGCTTTCAGGGAGAACCAATCCGACGGGAGATCTAGACGGCAACAGAGAGTCCTGTCTTATCGGGAGAAATAGACCTGACCTGAGGGAGCCCCAGTCTGAGGAGAGACACAGCCCCGCCCTCGGGGAGCCCCGGTCTGAGGGGAGACGCGGCCCCATCCTCGGGGAGCCCTGGTCTGAGGGGAGATGCAGCCCCGCCCTCGGGGAGGCGCAGCCTGAGGGGAGAGAGAGCCTCGTCCTCAGGGAGCCCCAGTCTGAAGGGAGACACAGCCCTGCCCTCAGGAATCTCCTAGGCCAAGGTCCAGAATTCTCTAGGTATCCATTAATTGTTTAGGAAGAGGGAACAGGTGTCATAGCCTGTGGGTTCCGTGGGAAGGACAGTAAAGTGAGAGCTTAGTGCCAGCTTCTTTCTCAGACTGAGGGCCCCAGGCCAGGCTTTCCTGGCTGACAGTTCCTTCAGGCTGACAGTGCGAAGACCCCTGAGCTGCTTCATGCTCTGCCTTTCACCCCAAGACACTGAAGCTCAGCTCATCCTGAAAACAGGAGGAAACTTTAAAGGAATTGTTATAAACTGGCTGAAGACCTCAGGTGCCTCCTGGTGTGATGCAGTAAGGTACCCATAGCAGCACCCTAGGGGGTGCTTTTGCCAAAACTGAACCTGAATCCAGCCACACCTCAGCCCTGACTACTGGTTTACAGGGAAATACAGATGAACACGTTAGAAGACAGCAATTGGCTACAATGGCCCAACCCCAGAATGTGGGAAATTCTGCAGGACAAATGGCCGACTTCCTCCAAGATGCACATGGCATGAAAAGGTAACTATTTAGAGTAAGAGACTTAGGAGACCAAACAACCAAATGCAAAGTCTGGTTTAGATCCTGATTTGAATAAACCACTTGTAAAAGACATCTTGAGACAATCAGAGAATATTGAACACAGGCTGGGTATTAGACGATAGTAATGTCAGTAGGCATTATTAATATTGTGCTTCTGTTAAAAACAAAAAGGCAATAAAGCAAACCCTCTTTATCTGTTAGAAATTCCTCCTAAAGTGTTTACAGGTAAGAGGAAACAATGCCCTGGATTTGCTTCTTAATACTCAGAAGGGGGAAAATGTTATGGGGGAGCGAGGGTACATGGGGATTTGTTATAATCTCTCTACTTTTGTGAATGCATGAAACCTTCCATAATAAAAGTTGAAAATGAAAAAAAAAAAAGCAGCTCTGTTGGTTAAGAATCACAAATCTATATCCCGATATCGTGCTCTGAAGACTGAGTCACTGAGGGAGGCAGCATTCCTGGACTCCTCCCTCTGAGGGCCTCCCCCAATTATAACAGAGTGTCCCCGCCCACCCCCACCCCAGGACCACCAGGCTGGGGAGGGAGTGAGAAGGGAAACACAGATGCAGGAGGATGGAGCACAGCATGGCTCCATGTGCCACAGCCCACGAAAAGCCTGGGCGGGGGGGAGGGGGCAGTTCTGACTTCTGTGGGGCCTCATGATGATCTGAGACCCTGGCACAGAAGGACCAGAATCCCATCACGATCCACAGGTGTTTGTAGAGCTTGTATCTTATCTGCCCACACCTTCCACTGTCCCTCTGGAGGAGGAAGAAGAGAGCAAGACAGAGAGAGGAAGAGGGAAGACCTGAGGCCCCTCCCCACTCCAACACCCCCCAGCTGTCGGAGAACAAGCACTCATCTAACACCGAATCTGTATGAGGCAGAGTGGAAAGAGCAGAATCAAAACCTGGCGCTCCCTACAGTGGGATACCATCCCAAAGGAAGAAGGAATGAGTGCTGATGCATGCTGCAACATGGATGAAATTGGAAAACGGTATGCTAAACCAAAGAAGCCAGACCCCAAAGGACAAATATTATATGATTCCATTCAAATGAAATGTCCAGAACAGGGAAGCCTATAGAGACAGAAAGTAGAGTAGTGATTACTTGGGCCTGGGGGCAGGGGAGGCCGGAGTGAACACTGAAGGGTGCAGGGTTTCTCTGTGAGGTGGTGAACACATTCTAAAATCAACCTCAGTATTGGTTGCACAACTCTGGGAATGTACTAAAAACCGTTGAATTGCACACTTGAAATGGGCGAGTTGCATGGGGTGTGGAATATATCTCCATAAAGCTGGTTGGTTGGTTTTTCCAAAAATTTGCCCCACACCCCCAACCCCAGCTTGCCACTTCCTGCTATGAGATTTTAGGAACATCCCTTAAGCTCTCTGAGGTTCAGATTTCTCATCCACAAAATAGAGATTAACAGTAAAAACAACAAAAATACAAACCCCCCAGGAGAGGTTTTGTGCACACCAAATAAGGGCCTTTTTCCTCCCCAAAGACCCAGCAACTTAGCAACAGGGCAGGCTGGGGTTGGGGTGGGGTGCGGTCAAAGGCTTGTAAATTCTTGTAAAAAATCTTGAATTGTTCCCACCTGATCTCCATGTTTAGATCAGGAGCCTTCAGGAACCAGCTGTTGACCGTAAATATTCCCCTGAGAAATCTCCAAAAACCAGCCATCCCTCCATGCTTGTCCAAGCTCACAAGTGTCAGGCTCAGTTAGGGATGGTCAGTTCCTCTTAATGTTGTGACCATATTTGTGTGTGTGTGTGTGTGTAGCAGAGAAAATTTTTTCCAAATCAATGGAGTTAAGATTGTTTCACACCCATAAGTTGGTATGGGGCATTGAGGTAATTTTGATCAAGTTTAATGTTTGCCTGAAAATTTGGATATGCCGACCATTGGGAGTGGAGCAGCCTGGAGCATTTCTCCACCCTGGGACAGAAGGGGATTTGGGGATCACAGAGAGATCTTGTAAGTCTCATCAAGGACTGACTCTGTGCAGAAGACGATCAAGGAAAATGACAGAGGAGAAGATGAGAAGCCCCTTCCCGTCCATCACAAAGGCTAGTTCTACCCTCAGCTTCTGCTTCCCCCACTCTCCCCATCCCCAGGAATCCTGCTTGTCCCTCTGGCTTCACACCCTCCTAGGGCAACTCATATAAATCATGCCACTTTGTGCAGTCCCTGCGGATCTGTCCCCTAGGAAGGGCAGAGTGGTTTACAAGCCTCCTTGACAAGGGATTTGTAGCAGTAATCCCCACCCACAGAGAAAACAATCCCAAGCAGTGACCTTCAGTCTGACTTCGCTTCCATCTGAGGAGCAGCTAAGCTAGCCATCTGGGGTTCACCGGTGTTGTCTGGGCTTCAACCATGTCCTGATGCCAGTGTGCCCAGCGCCCAAGGTGCATGTCCCCTTGGACTCACCAGCCTCACTCAGAGGATAAACCAGCTGGATGAACAATTGAAGCCCTAGCCTCAGGCAGGGAATGGGTAGAGTTGGACAGAAGGAAGAGGTGAGGGAGAGCCACTGGCTCTGGACAGGCTGACCTTTCCCTGGAAAACGACTCAAGACCCGCAATGGTGGGTCTCTGGGAAGGGGTATGCTGGGATCAGTGCAAAGGGTGAGATTCTCTTTCTCACCAGCACCTCCCTCCATCCGCCGCTCAGGATTTTATTTTTACACATGCCAAGAACACTTTAGAAACACTTTATCGAGTTGCACTATCATGATTTAAGTAGTAAACACCAGCAGGCATTTATTGAGCACCTGTTGTATGCCAGGCTCTAGACAGAGCTAGGAGGTGACCTCCAAAGTTGTGTATTCTGGTGCCTTCCTTTAAAAGATGGGCAAGCAAAGGCCCAGGGCATCAAATGACTTATCCAAGATCACCATCTAATTAACAACAGAGACAAAACTACAGCCTAGACCCCCTGACTGCCCCATCCTCTGCTCTTTCCACCGTATCCAAGGACAAACACCTTGAGAATGGTTGCTCAGGGTTGAAAGGTTAGAAAACAAGGGAACCAACCCAGAAATTTATGCTTTTAGGACCGAATGCACTCACTTTGAGTGAATGAGACAAGCAGCCAGATGAAGTCTCGGTATATGTGATCCATGAATTCCCTCCTCCCGAATGAAGCAGACACACGGTCCTGGCTGGGTCTCCCCCTGGTGACCCCCATTCAAATAGTTTCTATAACTTGACACTTTCCTCCCATCTTAGCCAAACATTAGGTTGAACCATATGAAGTTGCTATTTTTATCGCTCAAAAATGATAGAATATTGACAATTCCATATGGTCCAACCCAATACACCCTCCCACGCAGTAATAAGTTGTGCACACAGAGCACCCAATGGGGAGGAAAAGGCACTGGACAGGGGGAGTCACAGGCTCGTGTCTCCGTGTCCCCATATCACTCTGACCCCAGGACTGGAGGCTACTCACTCTTTGACTTCTTTGGAGGAAAAGTCCAGATAGCGGTTGCTGATCCACTGAATCTCAAACCAGTCCCGAAAGCCGTTGTTGCCACAGCACTTGAACTCAATTTGCAGCGTGTCGATGGTCTTCTTCATGAAACACCTGCCTGGGGTGTCTGTGTCCCGGTAGAACTTCATGCCATTCTTGAGCCCGTGGGCCAGCGTGCTCTCCAGGGAGCCCAGCAGGAGGAAGCAGCAGAGGGCCACCAGGAAGAGGACAGTGTTGAAGAGGACACACACGGCCAGGTATGGCTTCAGCCAGGGCTTCCACTTGGCGTACTTGGCAGGGTCCAAGGCGTCATAGCAGATTTTACCCGCCAGAGAATTGAAGACACAGGACAGCACCCCCATCCCTATCAAGGAATTGGGCACAAAATGGCTCTCGGAATTGTCCATCAAGTCGCTCCGCTTCCTGAGTTCAATCTTTAGGAAGAGCCCTAAGCCAAAGATGATGATACCAGCCAACACGGAGAGCCAGTTCATGAGCCAGAGCCCTTGGGCCAACTTGACCCGCTTCTTCTGGTCAAATTTGACTTTCAGCAAAGCCATACTTGCAGAGTGCAGTCCAGGCAGCCTCTCACTCCTGACCTCAGTAAGCCCGGAGCCTGAAGACTCAGGGCCTTGGGAAGGGTGCAGATGGCCCAAGCTGCAGAGAGCTGCTCTGGGGGCTGCCCATGCTGCGTCCTCTAGCCTGGGACCCCTGTTAACTCACTAGTGGGAGCAGGGGCCTCAGAGTCACAGCTCATGAAGGGGCCAGTCCTCCGCGTGTCGTTTCTGCAGCTCCCTTGCCAGCAGAGGAGGGACAGACTGAAGGCTGCAGATTAAAAGTGGGATCCACAAGACATCTTGCTAATCTCTTTAGCCAGGTTCATCCCATTAGATAAAGCCGTGCCAGTTTCAGAACATGGTCAAGAGGAGCCTCCATGGACACCCTGGAGCAGAGAGCTCTGGGTTCAGCTTGAAGAATCAGGAGTAAAAAAGACAAGACTGGGCTTCCCTGGTGGCGCAGTGGTTGGGAGTCTGCCTGCCGGTGCGGGGGATGCAGGTTTGTGCCCCGGTCCGGGAGGATCCCACATGCCGCGGAGCGGCTGGGCCCGTGAGCCATGGCCGCTGGTCCGGAGCCTGTGCTCCGCAGCGGGGGAGGCCGCAGGGGTGAGAGACCCGCGTACCGCGAAAACAAAACAAAACAAAAAGACAAGACTGGCCAGAGAAATGGGCTTTATCTGGAGGTCTGGCTCAGATCACATCATGTGTCTCCCCAGAGCATGTTTCTGGGCCAAACTCCTTCAAAATTTGAAACTTTCTAATGGGACAAAAGACATCATTATCCAAGTTGAGAAACAAATGACAGATTGGAAGAAAATATTTGCAACATGTAAAAAAAAGAATGAATAAGCAAAAAAAGAAAAAAAATTAACTGCCACAGTTCCACATCAAAAAAAAAAAATCATCAACTGGAAAAGCAGGCAAAGGAAAGGAACAGGTGATTTATAACAAGCGAACCTGGAAAGTCCAAGGATCTGGAAAACTTGTCAATCTGAGTAGGACAAAGGGCAATGCAATTAAAACAATAATAAAAGACCAAACTTGCACATCTGTCAAAATTCTGTCACCAATATAAACAAAGGTAGTAGAAATGAGATATACATTCTTGATGAGTCTGTAAATTTATTATTATTTTTAATTTATTTCTTGGAGTAGTTTCAGGTTTACAAAAGAAATTGAACAGAAAGTACAGAGCGTTCCTAAATACTGCTTTCCCCCAACCAATTTCCCTATAATTAACATCTTGCCCTTGTGTGATACATTTATTACAATTGATGAATCAATTTTGATACATTATTAGCTAAAGCTCATAGTTTACATTAAGGTTAACTCTTTGTGTTGCATGGTTCTATGGGTTTTGCCAAATGCATAATGTCACGTTTCCACCATTATATCATATAGTATCATACAGAATATTCTCACTGCTCTAGTAACCCCTGTGTTCCACCTGTTCATTCCTCCTCCCCTCCCTGCCCAATCCCAGGCAGCCACTGTCTCTATAGTTTTGTCTTTTCCGTGTCATATTGTTGGAATCGTATAGCATATAACCTTTTCAGGCTGGTTTTTTTCCCTTTGCAATATGCACTTAATGTTTCTCCATGTCTTTTTGTGGCTTGATAGCTCATTTCTATTTATCGCTGAATAACATTCCATTAATGTGAATGTACCATTGTGTGTTTATCAATTCACCTATTAAAGGTCATCCTGATTGCTTCCAATTTGGGGCAATTATAAATGAAGCTGCTACCAAAACTCTACTATGGAGGTTTTTGTGTGAACATACGTTTTCAACTCATTTGGGTAAATACCTAGGAGTGCAATTGCTGGATCATATGGTGAGATTATGTTTAGCTTTGTAAAAACCTGCCAAACTACCTTCCAAAGTGGCTGTATTATTTTGCATTCTCACCAGCAGTGAATGAGAGTTCCTGTTGCTCTACGCCCTAGCCAGCATTTGGTATTGTTAGTGCTCTGGATTTTAGCCATTTTAATAAGTGTGTAGTGGCATCTCACTTGTTTTAATTTGCATTTCCCTAATGGCATACGTTGCAGAGCATCTTTTCATATGCTCATGTGCCATCTGTATATCTTCTTTGGTGAGATGTCTGTCCAGCACTTTTGCCCACTTTTTAATTGGATTATTTTCTTTCAATTATAAGTTTTTACAGACTTTTGGGAGAGTAATTTATCTATCTCTATTAAAATTTAAAATGCACATTGCCAGTGATCCAGCAATTCCACTTCTCAGAACAGCCTGTGTATAACCAGAAGCCGTTTTAAGAAGAAACCGATCCTGTCCTCAAATTCATGTCCACCAAATACCAAGGAAGTCTTCATGATTAGAATAAGAGGCCCATGAGCTCAAGGCAGTAAGAGGGTCAAATCTCCAACCTGGAATCTCCTTTCTTCCCTTTGTGTTTGTTGGGTTCCACTAGATTCACCGCCTACACACTCCTCTTTAAGATCTCCAAGTCACTAAGTAAAATCGAAGGAGTATTTCTCCACATGTAGAGGAGGTGTGAGAACAAAGCAACGGGACCTGATTTTTTTGTCCTCCAGCGTAGTCACCTCGGAAAACAAAACACGTATTCCATTGCTGGACCCAAGTCTAAACTCCAATTTGAAAGTGATTTCCAAGGCCAGGTTCTGAGCCATTTGGGGAAATCTGTCTTGTTATTTTATTGTCAGACCACATTTTGAGTCAAAAACAGTATTACCCAGAATGATCACTCTTCTAACAGCCAAGATTCAGCTTCTAAGTAGCTTTGGACCTTCAAAGGATTTCAACTCTTCATCATCAGAGACATTGAATAGAATTTGCTGCAGTTTCTGAAGTTCCCCCTCCCCCCAAGAGAGGACGTTCAGACAACCAGAAGTACGACCAGATTTGTACCTCATATACACAAAATCTGAGGACAACTGTCCCAAGAGAAAAGGGACATGAATGAGTGTGAAGCTGTCTCAGAGAATCTCTTAGGAGCACACATGCATGTGAGACAATCAGAGGGAAGGAGAAGAAAGATTTGCTGTAGAAAACAGAAACAAAAGTTAAAAATAGTTCTACAGGGATAAACCAATTAGTCAAGGACCTCTTTCTCCTCAAATGACCCAGAGGCAGGGTTGAGTCTATGGCAAGTCTGTGGATGCCCCCTGGTGGCCAAAAATATAATGACTTCAGTGGATGGGAAAGGGAGATTTCACCTCTCAGGCTAGCATCTCTGAGGATGTTAAATTATGTAGAAAGGCAAAAGAGAAAGACCAGACACATCAGAAATGTCCCTGGCCAAACTTTTCAAGTAGGAAGCAAGGCAGGATACGCTGAGGAACGAGCCAAGAAAAACAGGCTGCAGAGGAAGGAATAATGCATCCCTGCTGGAGGATGGGGAAAGCTGGCTACCTCCCCTGCTGGACCAATGGATGTAAGTGTTGACGCTATAAATCTATTACAAAGATAATAGAATAGGTTAATTGAATTAGGGGTGATTAGTTTTTCTTCCTTAGAATTTCCTTTCATGTTATTATAATAATGGAATGAAAATAATGAAATAGTACATTTAAAACAAAAAAATAAAGGAACCCAAGAGATCATCTCTCTGGACTTCCCACCCAAGGAAGAATGAGGCACAGGTTGGCTCTTTGAAGAATTAACTGACTCTTGCTTTCTTAACCTCTCTCCCTTGTCATCCTGACTTCTCTTTACTCTTTTTCCTTCTTCTTTCCTTCCTTCCTTCCTTCCTTCCTCCCTCCCTCCCTCCTTCCCTCCCTCCCTCTTTCTTTCCTTCTTGCAAAGCAACAAAAACCTTTTCTCATGAATTTTTGCCCTCCCTCTTTCAGGTATAGTCCTGGTTACTCCTCAGAATGAAGATCAAACAGAGCCATTAGAACCAGTTTAAAATGGAAAATTCCATAATGAACAAAAACTCCAGTTTGATAAGAACAAACAAGTCAAGATCATAAGGACTGTTTATGAAAGAATATTTCAGAAAGAGTTAAAGAGCAAGAAAATGTCCCTCTGCAACAGCCAGCTAACCCAAAAGCTTGACCTGGAGCTGGCTTGCAGGTATAATGTCCCCGAGCTTTACAGCCAAAATGTAAACATCCCCAAGATAGCAGAGGAGTTCAGTGTTCCTCCCACAGGTGCCAATCTGAGTGGAAGAGTGAGATTACACCACTTGATATCACTTGACACATACTTAATTGTTTGCTGAATTTAGACTAAAGCAGGAAGAAGATAGAAGTGAAAATAGTAACTAAACAGGTTCGTTTTTATGTGTCTCAAAGGAGAGTATAAGCATTTGGAAAATAGTCATCTTAAGGAACCAATTATATACAATCTTTGACTAATTAAAATTAATATGAGTAAGAAAAAGTATAATGCTCAAGTGAACATTCCCTCTCCCCCATATTCCCTCCCCCAGCATAAAAAATAGAATATCACCAGCACCATGGAGCAACCTGGGTGCCCCTCCTTCCGTACTCCCAGAGGTAACCTAAATTTGGTAATTATTCTTCTCTTGATTTTCTTTAGTACCTATGCGTGTGTGCTTCAACAATATATTTTTTAGTTTTGCATGATTTTGAACTTGCCATAAATAAAATCATATGGTAAGTATTCTTTTTGCTTTTGTATTTTTCACCCAAACATCACTTTTAAATCTTTTGTACATACAGGAAAGCCCACATATAATAAATGTACAATCAGCATTAAAATTTATTTTGAATTTCACTGATATTAATACACACAGCTATAGTTCATTAATTTTTAATCTTTAAATATAATTTTTATGTAAGTTTCAAGTGTACAGCATTATAAATCAACATCTGTATATACTACAAAGAGGTCGCTACAAAGTGCTCTATCTAAACTACAAGTCTAGTTACCATCCGTCACCATACAGTTGACCCCCTTTTCCCATTTCACCTACACCCAGCCCAGTTCTTTTCCGTTAACCACTAATCTGATCTCTATATCTGTGTTTGTTGGTTTGCTCTTTTTTTTATAT